ACTCACTTCTCTAGTTTTTAACTCTTAAACGACGATAAGTGGATATACCGCTGTATAGCCCCGTATATCTACTATATTTTCGGTGATGAAAACAAAATGTTCTATCATTATTTGTAATTTTCATTTTTCAGATAGAATGTACTATTCATTTAGTATATAATATCATCAAAAAATATTTTGAAAACCAATTACTAGTTTCAGATAGCATAATGCACCAATATAAATATTACGTATATTTTTAACTAGTTATGCTTGTAAATTTATAATGTGTATAAATGTATGATTGTATATAATTATATGAGTGTGTGGCTATGTGGGTATGACATATATGCAGCCATGCAGGTATAATTGTATTAATATAACAACATACGGTTTGTTAATATTTTAATGTATTATAATTGTTGAACAAGATTTATTAATAAAAGCTAATTTAAAAAAAAAATAATATAGATATTAATATATTTATATACTCCGTAGCTCAATTCTGATCGTTTATTTTATATATAACAGTGTTTATAAAAATTAATTTTGTCATATGTGAATGTGAGCAACAAAATACAATTCACAACATTTGAGATCAAATACCTACTCAACATTTTTAGTGTGTCTTTTGACAATTTTAGTCATAATATGAGAGCTAGTATATTTAAAGCAAAAAGTCATTGTGTGGTTTCATTGTTTTTCATTCAGTTAGGTGTTGAAAAATACTTGCACAGTTCTAATCTGGTACTATAAATAAGGAAATTGTTGTGTATTCGAGTGAAGAGAGAAAAAAATTATTTGACTAAATATTAAAATTATATCGTTGACACCTAAGATTTAACGGCTCCAAGAAAGCGTATGCCTACGAATATTTTCAGCAATACACCACTGCCTACGTCTTATGCCTACTTAATAATGACTTTTCAGGTAGTCTTCTGTTCTTGTTCACGCCCCTGGGCAGCGCACTGTCTTCGCTAACACTGGGCCGCTTCGGTCACAAAACGTGCATGATAATAACCAACGTTCCGTTCATAGCGTCGCAGATCATGTTCTTTTACGCCAACAGCGTCGGGACATTGTACGCGTGCTCGATGCTGATGGGGCTTAGCGTCGGATACTCGGGCGGGCCTTCCAACGCCTACATCGGGGAGGTGTGCGAGCCCAAGCTGAGAGGCGCGCTGATGTCGGCGACGAACGTCTTCTACTACGTTGGATCGTTGCTGTTCACGTTGATATACGCAATCACGTTGGAATGGAGGCTGACTGTGCTCATCGGCATGTCGATCCCGGTCGTCACCATCGCTATACTGTTTTTGGTGAGACGAATATATTTTAATACCACTTTGCCTAGCTAATAATATATCATCGTTTTTGATATACTCTACTATATACCTTTCGGTTCCCCCCCAAAAAAAATCGTTTATCTTTCACCGGTTGACGCTAAATTTTTAAAAAAAAAGTTCAAACAATTTGGCTTTTTATAATAGGTACTTATTAATAATTATTCATTATGCGTGTATAATATCAAGTTGATATTGTGCCCTGAGCCGAATAATTATTTTTCACCGAGTAACGATTATAATGTTTAAATTCATATTTTTTAGACACCTCAATCTCCAATGTGGTTGTTGACCAAAGGTGAACCCTTGAAGGCTCAGCGAACACTTGGCAAATTGAGGGGATGGCCGTCGCAAGAAACAGGTTCAAGCAGAGAGTTCAGAGAAATGATAGCTTATACGTCTACTGTAGTACACGACGATGACGACGTCGAGACAGGTAAGTCCCTAACCCAACCTAATTATTATACGTAAAGTGTGAAAATCAGTACGATCAAGTATAATTTATTACTTAAATATTTGGTGAATAACGATAATATTATTTACCTTATATAATTTATAGATATATATAAACATATTTTATGTTTGACGTCATTTACCGTATAAACTATAGGTAACGCATATAATATTATAATATTTAATATTACATTTTTTTTTCTATAGACGACAAAAAAGCAACGAGTTCTTGGGGACAACTCCTTCAGCCTGAAGTGTACAGACCGTTTCGCCTGCTGTTGGTGTACATTTTTTTTGCAAATTTATTGTCTGGTATACAGTACGGACCTTATCTAGTGGCAGTGTTTACTGAATTCGGTGCACCCGTTAACGTCGAGTTTACATTAGTAAGTATAGTGTCTTTGAGCGTGTCGTCTAATATTTAACAACATAATACGACGATTATGTATTATTTTAATGGTATCGAATTTTAATTGTTTACGATATTATAGGCGTTTTCAGTGTTTTTATCAATGGTTGGAGGAATAATGACGATATTTTTGATCAGCAAACTCGGCAAACGGTTCCTTACGTTCTCGACATTATTAATTTGCTCGATTTGTTATGTATTAATCGGATTAATCGGTGTGCATTGGACGAACTCTAAACCTATAACTTCTTGGTTGGTGTTAATACTTTTTCTAACTACTACTTTCATGTCATCATTTGGGATAATGCCTATCTCATGGGTACTTCTTACCGAAATATTTCCAATGAAGTGAGTATAAAAAAAAAATGTGATTTGATTTGATTTTAATTCAAAACCTTGATTTGTTTTTAACCAATTTCAGAAGTAGAAACATTACCTGCAGCGCTGGAGCGGCAATAGGTTACTTAATGTCTTTCTTCATGATCAAGTATTATCTTGAACTGTCCAACTTAGTAAACTTTTACAATACGTTTACTTTATTTGGAATTTCGGGTTTATTTGGTACTGTTTATTTCTATTTTTATCTACCAGAAACTGAAAACAAAACATTACAAGAAATATCTGAGTTTTTCAAATAGAATGTCTGGTATCATTACTTAAATTTAAATAAAAAGGAACTTCAGTCTGCAATTATTAATAAACTCAATAAGGAAAAGTACATTTGAAACGAAGTGAAAGGCACTCAACAACTCTATCCGAACAAACTAAACATTTAAGTTTGTTGTAGGAGATCGTGATCTCTGCGCCGTTTGTGTTTACGCTTGAATGGTCTAGTTTTAAAATTTAAATGAAATTGATATGTTCATAAGCCACCCTAGTCAAGTTTGTATTATTATGTAATTATTATTCATTATATAGTTATTACTTATAAATTATGTGATCATCAGATATTTCGTTAAAACAAATCACGAGAAAAAAAGTATTTAATAAAGTAGAAAATATTTAATTTAAGACATTAATATAATATAATTATCAACATGTTTTTACATAAGTAATGTATATTATTTTGCGTTCAGCGAGTATTTTTTTTAAATACCTAGAATATATTAATATATTTATTATTATGTACTATTCATGTAATTACTGTTTTTAATGCTTTCGTCATACTTTTTTGTATTACCTTTGAAATATTTATTTTTATTTATATATTAATATTTACCTTGGTTTATTTAAGGCATAAGCATAAATGCATAATATAAGGGTTGTTTTGTAAAATTAAATTGTTCTGTGTTTATTATACATACACTAAATTCGATTAGTTGAACTATATTTATTAAATTGAGATCCGCCTGTGGCCAGGAAATTTATTCATATAAATACAAACATTTTGATTATTTTTCTCTTCGTATCCATTACACACCAGACTTAAATGTACTTTTAATATAATTTTAGATGTATATCGAATAAAATTACACATGACAGAGAAGTACTCCGAGAGCACCAATTATTTATGGAGAAACTAAAATGCAATTAAAAACTATCAGCCAGTTGATCATATATATAATATTATACATACATCAGAAGCCATACCTAAATTAAAATCAGTAGAACACTCAATTTTCAATAATAAAGTTTGAGACGACATGTTTCATATATTCAGTGAATCAGTTAGAGCAAGTCATACAAATTTAAAGTCCAACGGATATTTTTCAGAAACGCCACGACTATACAAATGACCAATAATTTTTATTTCTATTTCGTAACTTACAAGTGGATTGACGGTCGTTTTCGTACTGTTGGAGGTAACCAAAAAATAGACAAAGTCTTTCGTCATACTTTACTTAATGTCTTAACATCATGTGTTCACTCTTATCAAGTCATCGGGATATAACGACAAAAAAGTTACAAATAATGTTTTATTGCTTTTAAACTCGTAACAAAAAGATAAACATTTTAAATACACATTAAAAAAACCCGAAATCGATATTATTTTAATGTTTTATGAAATTAATGGGTGGGTCAATAGTGTGTGTAATGAAAGAATTAACTATGGGTGTTTTATTATATTCGATACGTTAGCTTAGCCGTTCGCGTACTCATAATAATTGACATGGAACTGATCTAGAACATTCAGGAAACAAACCACTGATCAATGAACTCTCAACTTGGACATCACAATTTGTTAGACAAGGTAAGAACGCGTTATTTTTTTTATACGAAACGAATATTAGGAATAATGGAATTATAATAATAATAAGTATTAATTATTGTATACTGATTTTTTTCTGTGCCGAAATCCCATCTATACATAGATTGAGATGTAATTGTGTGATGAAAGAATAAAATAGTTAGATTTATTTATTTGATTGTGCTATTGTATTCTTAAAAATAAAACTGTTAGTATATCGAAATTTTAGGTTTTAAAAATTAAAAATTAAGTATTATTAACTTTATACAGTAGATCAAAATACATCAACCAGCTATACAAAAATAAATTTTTTACCGATATATCTTACGTAATATAATATTAGTATGTTGTTGTACCAAAGTAGATATTCAATAATAATTGAAACTAATTAAACTAATAACTAAATATTGTGTTAATAATACTATAATCGTACATCGTATAATACCAATAAGAGTGAATATTTTCTAAATTTATACAATCAACTTTGATTACTAAAATAGATGATACTCACTATAAAACGCCTTAAAAATAAAAATATCAAACTTTTATTTTAGATTTTTAGCATATCTTGTTGTTGTTTTAAATAAAAGGTAAAAAAAGTGACTTCCAAATTAAAATATTTTTTTTCTAATATAAAAATTATAAATTAAGATAATTTCATATACAGACAGTAATAAAACACAGACAAATATAATATACAATTGTAAAAGGGCAAAAAAATTGGAGACCCATATAAATAATATTTTCATTGCTTTTCTTAAAAAATTAAAATGAATTCAATATTCGTGTACCTACATTAAATAAATAAAAAAAAATATCATATCATAGAATTGTTTAAACGGTAATCCCAATGAAATACATCCAAGATCCAACGATAAAAAAAAAACTGTTGAATAGTATGTAATTTTATCTGTTAATCCATTCGAAAGATTAGGAATTTTAGGACTTTATGGGCCTCGGTCAATAAATGTTAAACTTGAAAATTCGGGATTATCAGTCTTGCATTCTTCATTCAAATTCAACGGTATCACGTTCGCAGTCAATTGCGAAATGTGTTCTAGAGTACATGAATCTTCTTTACAATTAGATATTTGTAAGCGATAAGGTTCTGTCGATGATTCGTTGCGCAAAAACACCTAGAAAATTAAACAAATTATAATAGAGCAGTGGCGTAGGCAGGGGGAAGCTGAGAGGGCTGCAGCTCCCCCCCCCCAGAAATGTTATTACAATTTTAAAATTATTTTAATGGTCTATGGTATTCGATCAAAAACTAAACCACCGCTGTGTAAAAAATGTATCAGCCCCCCCCCCTCCGAAAAAAAATCCTGGGTACGCCACTGTAATAGAGGTACCTAAAACTGAGTTCTGTTAAATACGGACACGTATGAAAAATGTAATTAATTTCATTAAATACCTTTAAGTAGAAATTTCCTTTCTTCGATTCGTGCAACTCTAGTAATGCCAACATATTATACGTGGGAATCTGCTCATCCCATACACCTAAGGCAATCAAAAGATTGGATACAGTTGAATCATGGCCAGCGTAGGCATACAACTGATGTGTGGACTGTTTGTTTATTTTATTTTTACTATTTTCCAGTATTTGCTTTAGTAAAGGACCTTAAAAAATATCACGTTAAACATATTTGTATGTATAAGCATTGGATCTTCAGTTATGCGTTAATATATACCTCCTTTGAGTTTTTTCATTTCATCATTGTAAGCATTCAATATGAAACTTCTAGATGTCACTTTGGCCAATTTCATTGGATATACTTTGGACGTCCAATTTGGAAGTGCAACTCCGTAGTCCGACTGGAATAGAAAAATAATACCGTCAAATAAATCACGCTTATATATTTTAATATTTTATGGCTTTAAAGCCATAAGCACAACAACACAAAATGTGTAGTATGCCCGTTTGTGTGATGCATAAATTCAAAAAAGTGACTACTAAGTACATACCTCGGCTTTTAACGTACTATAAATCGACTGTACGTCGTCGGGATCTCGAATGATCAGTCCGGTGTGGGTGGACAGATAACTATATAGATCACTATAAGTATTGAGCTCTTCGATGACTTCGGTGGAATTCATTATTTTTTGCCTTTCTTCGTAGTACCTGGGACAGTCCATTCGCACTAGCAACAACTGCAGCACACAGATTTGTATACTGTCGACAGTAGAAATTCGGAGATTAAAAAAACACATTTAACATAAAAATATTACTCGGTCGCTGTTCAGAGGTTCTGAATGTATTGGGACGGGTTGCCATTCTAAATATCTATTCCATTGCTGTATCCCGACTGGCTTGTACATAGCAGACGCGACTAGTTGAGCGCTCATTATGGTTCTGTCCACGTCAGTACTTCTAAACGTGACTTTTTTAGAAGAGTACAGAACATCCAAAAATCCAGAGTAACGCTTTCTGATAAATTTTCCGAGCTCGTATTGTTTTCGTTTACCATTCTGAAAATGAGTCACGAAGATATTGAATTTCATTTTAATAGTATACATTTATATTATATTTGTCCAATTACAGTAGAACTTCCATATAGCGGCCACTGAAGGGACTGTAAATAATGACCGCTATTTAGAGGTGTCCGTCCTACAGAGGTGACCGTTAACAGAAGTTAAAGACCTTATAGGTGACCGCTATATAGAGGTCATACAAATTTTAAAAATAAAACACCAATATTAAAATAACGCATATGAATATGGGTATTAAAAATTGTATTTATGATTTACGAAATAATGTAGGTAGGTAGGTAGGTACAGTTTAAAATTTAAAAAATTGAGTTATATTAGTTTGTTTTAGATTCATTTGATTATTTGAACACTTTTTTTCAAAATAAATTTCTGCGGTTTTTAACATGTCATAACCATCTACGTCACATTTTTGAAGAGTAAAAGCTGACAATTGTTTTATTTGAGTTAAAACCTCAGAATAGTTTGATACAGTGTACTCGGATTCTTCAGTTTTTTCAGTTTCTTCATGTGTTTCCTCTTCGTCATTATCTGTTATTATGAATGACTTGATATCAGTACTATCCTCTTCAGTTCTTAGATTTTTTTGTAGTTTTCATTTGATCATTGCCGTGGGATTTCCATAATTTTAAAATCGTTTCTCTGTTTTTTATTAAGCCGGTGGCTTGAGTTCTTCCTATTCCAAATTTATCTGCAAGAGCACGTGCACTCACATTTTCTTTTTGGTAAAAATCTAACAATTTGATTTTTTCTGTTAAAGTTAGATGTTTTCGTTTGGACGCCATTGAAATTATAGGTATACGTACTTTGAAACGTTTTAAACATACACTGAACACAAATGACAAAATACACAGTCACGGACAAGTGTTAGCGCTTTATCGACATCATAAATTAAGCTCGTTAAGATAAACTGTCAAAAATAATTTCGAAATAATAATTTTCCATTTGATATACTTTTAAATGTTGACCGTTAATTAGAGTGCCCGCTATTTAGAAGTATTAATGTATTTTTCCCATAACACTCGACGGGACCAAACAAATTGACCGTTACATAGAGGTGGCCGTCCTATAGAGGTGACCGTTAACGGAAGTTTTACTGTATTAGATATTTTAAACGAATTATAAAACTAACGATATTTCAGTTTGATGACTGTCTTTTCGCTCCCATTTGATCAAAGTATGTTGTACATAACAATGTTTTTGTTTTTTAAGAAGAATATGTATACATATAAATTAGTAACCACTATGAAATCTTTATACTGAGCTTTTATGAACCATAATATTGCTCCGTATATTTCTTGTAGTAAGCTGGTAAGCATCAATATTAAGCGTGTTCAGCGCAAGTTCCTTTTGTTTTCAGCGTTTAAATTAAATAAGTAGGTATTGGTTATTCTCCTCAAGATTATTTTCCTGTTATAAACCGGTTTGGTTTAATTAATTTAGTTGATAGAAGGCTAATTATTTAACCTTTCTCGTGCGTCTAATTGGTGGCATTAGTGAAACTAAGATAATATCGTCTCAAATAAACTTTAAAGTCCCATCCTGTCGTGTCTATCGCACATATCCATTTCTCATACTGAAATGTAATTACAATTATGCAAAGAATCAACCGACAGTTGGAATAGTGCTTATAATTAATGAAGATCCATCAATTATATAAAAGTATTGATATATATTATAGGTACTTGGGTAACATACATCATTTATTAAATAAAGTTAGATCTGTATTAGGCTACGAGTACGACCCGTATTCGTGTTAAAAATATAAAAAAAAAATATATTATAATAATTAATGTGTAAAGTAAATGTATACGTAACTATATGTAGGTATCATAAATAATCTAATATTTTGTTGTCGTTTTTTATAAAACAATTATTAATTATTCATATCATTCACCTATAAACTTTTATTATTTTATTTACGCAGATCGTCCAATTAAACATACGTATTATTTAATTAAAATATCCACGTAATACCTAGTAAAATGTTTTAAAAATAATTTTTATGATAACGCGATATTCAATGATTGTAAAAACAAACAATATTTGTAAACATTAAAAATAAATTAGGAACTACTTCAGTTTCTGAATAATATGTATGTAAGTCTATATTTGATAATATATTATGATAACATGCATTATACCAATATAATTATAATATAGACCTTATTGATGAGTTATATAAATATTGTTATCATCATTCAAATATTCAACGTATATAAATCTTTTTGTATAGATCATTTGGGAAAATCTGACAAAATCAACATTTGAAATATATTTGCTCACAATATAATGTCATTATCGTATTAGTGAACAATATGCGATCCGTACAATAGTACGTGATATACTAAAAAAAGATCTGGTACCTTTATAAAATGTGGCCAAAATTTGCTAGTGGTTGATGTTAAGATATCACAAACAACTTGAAACTCAAAAAAACCATATCTTTGTCTTTGCATTTTAACATAAACGTAATAATATTTAATATTCTGCACAATGCAGTCGAGTATAGGTATCTAATAGAAGAAGTTAATAAAATATTTTCACGCTAGTCATAACAAGACAATTGACATTCTAAAGGCTCTAAAAACATCTCATAAATAATGATATTATAATAATATTTACTTGCATTGGTCAGTTGTCCCCACCCGAATGGTTCCCACGACGAATTTGTGTACGGGTCCAGGGGGTATGTGTCGGCCGGCGTTCTTTGTCCGTGCCTGAACACCTGTAAACGATTTCAAAATGAGTTTTCGCATAATATTATATATTTTGTAAACCAATACAGATGCACATCACTTCTGATAGAATAATATATTATTATAGTTATGTATAAATATTATTATTATTACTGTTGTTGTTATTATATTGGCTTACGTACCGCGTGGACCAGTCTCAAAGTGTTCGAATCGGATGTGTGTCCATGATGTACAACTGGATAATGATTGTTGTAGTACACTGCAAAAACTGCAGCAGGACACATCAAAGACATCAGAAGCGAAACGCATAACGCAAAATCCTCGTTGCTGTTTTTAACAGAGTTCATAATGTTCAATAACAAGTGCGTGGAACGGAAACAGTCGTCGAACACGCTATTAGGCGTAAAAAAAAAATATATTATGACGTACGTTGAAGAAACAAACAACAATGAAAAAAAAAACACCAAAAATACAGTGTACAGTATGTATAGTAGAGCTCTCTCGGTGAAAGTTCGATTTTTTCGAACGGCGCCGCACGAACAGCTGACCGTCTGAACGATGGCGTGACAACCAACTGTGTATGCACGCAGATAGAATTATATGCCTATAGCAAAATGTGTATTATGTTTATAGACGTTTAGTGTAAACGCGCTGCGGCAGTTGTTTATTATTATTACCAGACTATACTGAATAGGTGGTCACAGGACCATGTGACGTGCGTGCGTCCTGGTGGAAGGAGTTGGTAAGCGACAGACCGTCGTGGTTTATGTGCATACCTACGACGTCATCGTCGACATTCGCTGTATAATATTAAGATATTATTATTATTTTTATTATTATTTACAATACGCGCTACATCATGTGTTTGTACCCGCCTAAATACATCATATACGTATTATAATAATATTGAACCTTGACCGGGCGTTCGTCGGTCTGGTCGGGTCGTCGTCAATAATTTTTGTACTGGTCGTTAAATGACATATCTAAAACGATAAACACTCGTCCCGCCCCAGATAATTTTTTGAGCTTCTAAAAACGTGTAAATGGTTCTCGCATGCCATTAATCGTCGCCGTCGTGATTTACGGACGAAACTATACAGATTTTTCACATTATTATGTTGTCGTAGGAACCAGCAAAAAAAATATATTACATTATTATGACGCAACCGTTACAAAAACTTAGTCTGTTGTAGGTAAATATTGACCATGAAACTGACGTAGATACGAATATTAGACTTTGCAAATTGTACGTTGCATATACTATACGGCATAAATTAAAAGACATATCAAAACCGTCAACATTCAAATCGATTTTTAACAGATAGAATAATATTTATATGTGTAATTTTTTTTAAGGAATTACTTTCAGCAGTAGCCAATTGGGAGAAATATTCATGTATGTTTTAGTGATTACATAAAAACGGATAAAAGGTTAAAAAATAAAAACAAAATTAAACAAGATATAAATGACAGTTAATATTTTAATGCCGAGTTACATAAAAAATATGTTCATTTAATGGTTTGTTAAAATATAAAGGACCAATCGTGGGTCACTATATATACTGTTTAATTGGCTCACTATTGGTTCATTACATTTTTGGTGATTATTTATGCAACCTAGCAAGAGATACTTACTAAAGATTACTGAGTAAATTATAATGCGCTTTTATAATTTAATTAGAATGTATTAGAAAAAGAAGACAAAATAAATAATTTTCTGGGATCCTTTTCAAACACAATGAACACTATTTTGGTAAAATAAATATATTTACGAGTTGCACTTTTCCAAAAGTCCAAGGAATTTAAATAATATTAAAAGAGTAATTTATTTTCAATTATCAGATATTTTATTTTATAAAATTCAAAACCGTGTTTTTTTAGATGTGTAATACAATTAATATACATTGAAATAAATAATAATGAATACAATCATTATCGTTGAAATATACCATTTAATTTGCCAGTTCATATATTATTAAATATATTGTTTTAAACCTTAGAGTATAATTTAATAAAGACAAGGTGATTCTTTTAAAGGTGAACACTCATTTTCTAGAAAATCATTAACGTTATTGGGAATATTTTTTTATATACCTTGAAGTTAATTAGTTAAGTATTCAGTTTAGATAAGCGGAGTAATTCACCAAACAACATTTTGCAAGGTATCCATGTCCACAATACTCTACTTATCTAAACTTAAAATATTTATAACTATTTTTAAGTTGTTCTTAATTCAATATTAATTTATCGAATATCTCATAAAAAATTGTCTACTTGGAAATATGAAATCAAAAATATATACTGTCATTGAAAAAAGTAAAAACTTAAAAATAGTAAACAAAATATTGCTTTATATGGCTAAAAAATATTCAATAAAAATATTTCAAAAAACGTTAATATATTTGATAATTTCTAAGATAATGAGTGTTTACCTTTAAAAGAATCACCGTGTATAACAACTGCTTAGTGATTATTGTATTAAAATTAGTAATTGCCTACATAATATTTATTATTTATACATTCTTATCTGATATTTGCGAGTCTAATTTTATTAAATTTGAAATGAATGAATTAGATAAATAAATGAAAAATAATATTTGTATAGTACATGATGGATGAATAAACCGTTTAGTTTATAAACTGTTTCATGCATTGAACATAATTAAGTTTGATAAAATCCACTCCGTGATACACCTCATTTCGAACATACTATACTATAACAATAAACTTATAGATTTATGTAACAATCGTTTATAATCATTCTTATCATATTTTTTTTTAATTAGAGCACTATAATGGTACAATACCTACCCATGCTTAACATATGTGATAGGTACACATCTACGACGTGCACACGAATTATGTTGTTGAGTTTAGATTGGTATCAAAATGCTGTGTGTAGTTTTTAATTTGATTTTGAAATAAAAAAATTATTTTTATAGACACCTAGATGTTTTCTTAAATAATGGAACTCCATTTTTCATCATATTTTATAATCCATACAATTTATCAACTTTATTCTGACGCAGAACCATACTATGCATCAGAATAATAATATTATCGTTGGTATATATCATGACGTATACACTTTACCTTACAATATTTTTTATTTTACGCAGAATACAATGCATGTTGTGTACATTCAGTTTGTTAGAGTAATTTTAAATAAACAAATCTCTACGCAAGTTATTAAAAATATGTTGATGAAAATAAAATCATTTTTAACTAATATGTAGGTATTAATGAGTATAGTTTATAGTCAATAGTTAATGTACAATATAATATTCCAATCGTATACTAAAAATATAAGCAAAAAAAACATAATAAGTCTTATGTCTAAATATTTAAAATTATTTTTTATGCTGTTTAGTATACAATTTTGTTGAAGTACAATTTCGTGTATGATCTGAACATATTACATAGTTCAGTATGAATAAGAATAATAGTATTAAGGTTAAGTACACAGTTACACACTCATACTACTGTCTACTGATAATTTTGTCTTTAATACAGAATTTTAAAAATATGTCCAAAATTCCAAATGCTTGATTACTTGCCTGATTTATTTGAGTGCATGGGTAAATATAGGTAATATGTCGTGGTAGTGTGCTTTGTGATTTGATGAAGTAATCTAATCTATTAATCAATTTTTTATCAAATACGTTTCTTTACTCTACCTTCCAAAGAATTATTAAAAAATATTATTACAATTTTTGTTAGCATGTTACTTTAATAAGCTTGTTGAGTTATTGATGGAATCGCTTTCATATATAGATAGTTACGTTTCAACAAAAAAACTACATATTTAAAGTCCATACAACGCATACCTGATATATTCCTACAACTATAAGCCAATACAATATTTTGGTTTGGTATTTAAAAAAATAATAGCAATCACTAATCGCCCTATTGATTTTTATTATTTATTTAAGTAAATAACTAATATTTTTAAATTTTTGTAAAAATAAATTTCAATGCTCATTTAAATAATTTATGTTTAAGATAAGCTACTAAATATGGATCATCTGGATGTTGCCTCCCGGTGAATTAAACGTACATATTATATACTAGGAAAATAAAGATGTTAAAAATCCAATGCAAACCAATGGAGCCTGCAAAAAGTAATTTTTTTGAACAGTCACACCATGATAAACCCAAATATACATATTTTAACGTTATCAAACTGAAAGGTACAGCAAATTACTGTTAGTACAATAATAAATACTATGTTGTACAATCAGATAAAATATAGTCTTATTTACAATTATAATAATATATTATATGTCCATAATTTATTTAAATTGCAAATATTAGTATTATTTGTATTGGATTCGATTATTTGATTGTTGTATCAAAACCAAGAATTTAAAAAAACTTCAGTGAAAACTGTTTTGCTATTTTACTTAATTTAACATCTAATGTTTTTTTAAAGTAATTCATATACCTTCCAGCCACCACCCTTTACAGACCAATACAGTCATGCATATATAATATTACTAGGTATAATGTATGTTAAAAATATAATAGTTAGTCAACAAAATACGAATAACATATTTATAATTCACGCATTACTGATCAGTTTATCAATGGAGCCTACGGCTAATTACTATAGTTATATTCTAATATTAGATGATAAGATTAAACTCAATTTCATAGAAGAAAACATTGAATTGTGAAATGATGTACGCACTATTAAAGCAGAGTAAGTTGAGTGATACACGTTTGCATATGTACCAAGATTACTTGTGAAGTTGAATGGAAATTTGGTGAGTTTTCAAACAATGTTCCTAATAACAGTCAAATACTTTAAACCTTAATTAATGATTTCATATAAATTATTATACACCTAATTAAATTAAATATTAAAAGTAATAGTTAGTTTATAAATTCATTATTTTTTTATTTTTTTTATAGTTAGGTATTTAAAATTATCTATTCTCAAACTATAATATTTATTTTAAGATAAAAAAAAAAATGTTATATACTGAATTTCACTAACAAGAATTGAAATCTAACAGTAAATATTAGGTATATTAATGTCGGTCATAATAATTCGTTAATTTGAAAATAATGTTACTATTATCATAATATTTTTTATGAAGTTTCGTGACTAATAAACTGAAATTTTATTTTAATTCAGAAAACATAATTGCATATATAATTTTCATAATCATAAACTATTATTCTTATTGGTACAGATGTATAAATATAATATATGTATACATGACACATTTATATAATTTAATCTATAGATTATCATGTTATTTAAGTTATATTAGTTTTTTTTCAACTATCATCACACTTGACGTATTTATTTAAAAGTATACATTTACACAATACAGAAGGTATACTTACAGGCTACAAGGTATGAAGTCATTAAATTGCGTATTAACTTATGTAGATTTAGTTGATAATTTAAACCTATACATTGGACGTACATACAACCAATTTATTACACTCATGCTCGTTGTACAAAGTATATATAGGTGGTAATTGGTAATAGAGCATTGATTAAAAATTGATTTATATTTATATTATATACCTGTCTACCCGTACCTAATTAATACATATACACGATAATAGAAGTACAAAATATTTCGTATAAACAAAAATAGAATAATATACTAAGCAAGTATCAAATATGGTTAAAATTTAAAAATGTAAGTGAACAAGATGTTATAAACATAGGCACTTACTAAAATGTTAATTTTCTTTTACACATTATGTAACCCACAAATTAAACGACAATAAAATTTAAAAAAAATCAAAGGTACCTCTAACAAATGACTGATAACTTAAATCATTATAGGTAATTCTTGGAAAATATTAATAATTAGTACCAGTTATGAAATAAAAATTTACATGATAACTGATAACATCATATGTTCATGATAGCGTATATTTTAGACAAATAAAATTCAATAATTGTGGTTAATGAACTCCAAAATCCCTACCAAAAATCTAAATTTATCTCATTCAAATAAAGATGGGGTGATCATTTTTCTAGAGATTGCTTTGTAATATATTGATAACATTATAGATTGTTAAAAATATAATATTTTTAGTGCATGTGATTTGGACGTGGTAATTGTTTTAATCACAATTTAGTTAATGGTATAGTCAGTGTTGGCCATAAATTGCATACCCACAGCTCTAGAGGATCATAATATAGTAATTAATTAAGAATCAGCAAAATTACAAATAAATATAATGTAAGTACCTACCAGGTAGGTTCTACATAAGTTAAAATCATATAAGGACGTCCCTTATAACATTCAACGTTTTATTTTACCCACCAGTAATGATTTCAGAGGAGAATATTTTCAACATCTTTTTAAATATTATCCTATATTATGTGATCTTATTTTTAATTTAAAGAATCGTATTCTAATTTTCACAAGTTATGTATTTTTGTTTAATAAAAACGTATAATACTAAGACTTGTGGGTCCTCAAAATTATAATAATATTTCAATTATTGGTTGGTAGCAATCACAATTATTTACTTGGGTGAATTGCGAGTTTGTGACTCAATACAATTAAAATATGTGTATATTCTTAAGTCCAGTTTGGTTATGCAATATTGAGCCCTTAACCTTTGGTCTTGGTTTTTTTTTGAGACTCACATTAAATTTTAAAGAAAAAAATGAAGATTAAAGAATATTTTCTGATTTAGAAAATATTTTTTGAAAAGATTGTTTCCATATTTAAACACTAACTGCTAGGTACCGTACCTACTACAATTTGCTACAATATAACGATTTTGTGTAATCTATTAAAATATTAAAGTACTTTGTATTTAGATTATACCAATTGTTAATGATTTGATTTATTATTAAAAATAAATTGTATACAATTTTATGATTATCAATTATAATTGTCTATAATAAAAACCTATTTAGACACTTAAGTTGAACAATACTAATAATACCTAATTAGATTAATATTAATTTTTTTATAGTTACACATTTATCAACTATCAAAGAATGGAATTCACGTAAAGCTATTCATTTAATTTTCAACTTTTAAAGAAACCAGAAAGGATACGAGGTTAGTTGAATAATTTTTTTTTTTTATTAAAAGAAAAAAAAAATATGTACTATCTGTATAATTGAATAATTTTATTAAAAGGACGTATTTTACCATTTGTACTCGCAAGTGTCATCTTCGTTTTAATAACGTCTATAACGCATTTAAGCACATCATACCAAAACTTACGTTCTGCAGTTCCAATGATGTGTTGTTAATACTTGGTTTAAATATTAAAGTAAATTGTAGAATGTTGACCTATTATCAAACTCAAAGGTAAGCACATTATCTGTGTTCTCTTATTCTCTTATAATATTTTAATTTTCAAGCAATTTATGAGTATGTAAAATATTAAAATTTTAAAATTCTCATAACTTGAACTCATAAATCAAAATATAAGAAAAATCAAGGTGGCAGCACAGATAATGTTGATAACCGAACTTTAATGTAGGTCAATTTATTCTAACATTAAATCTCTCAACATCAAATTTTAACTGATGAACGCAAATTTTCTATAATGTTGTCTGTATGCTATGTAAGATAGAGGCAACACAATAGCGGGTGTGACTCCCTCTTAAAATATAATACTCACTGTTTAAATTAAAAAATGTGCAGAACTAATAACTGTACATTATTGAAGTTGATGAACATTTATAAGACAGTAATAACTATTTAGGGTGGGAATCTTTTATGATATCATATTATTATGTTTAAATGTCACTCAATGCATCGAATGTTCACTATCTGCCATCTAAATGATATATTTCTGACCTAGGACAATTAATTATTTACTACATTCAATAAATTTAGGGCAATAACGAGAATAACAATTTTAGTAATGAGTGAAATAATAGATATGAGATTATGAGAAACACTCAAAAGCAGTATTTAAACAAGTTATCTTTGTATATTAAAAGAATCCTACATTTGTTTTGTTATTGTTTCATTATAAGTAGGTAGAGATCATTATGCAGGTACTTACCTATATAATGTGACTGTGCTATCTGGACTACATTTAGGCAGGGGAGTGAAACATCTGCGATCTGCCAAGGATTATACAATTTTATATTTCTATGTTACATTTTTAACTCTCACAGTAGCAACGTTATAGTCTTCTAAAACGAAATAATAAAACGTAGGTATTTATGTAGCATACAATTTAATAAGTAAGGCAACTAACCTAAATTATAAATTAAATAAATGAAAAAATTTAGGATTTATTAAAAATTATTACATTTCCTTACCTACCTACCTACTATAATGTTTAAGCTTTATTGGATATGTTGAAAACATATATTAAAGAGTTACTCGTACAATAATTTGTATGATAAAATAAACAAACTATAAAATAATATTTCTTTTACACATTTTTTATTTTAGTTTTAACTCACTGAAAACAAAAGAAACATAGTTTATGGAATGGAGTCTAATAGTAACTATAAATATGGTGTTAAATCCACTTTTTCACAAGTAAGTTATTTTTATAAGGTATTATAAATCGCAATTTTCTTAGCTACGCTTTACTAGATAAGCAACTTTTTAATTGTTATATTTATAAAAAAAAACATTGATATTTTATTCTACTATATTAGTAGTTTTTAAATTATTTTGATGTACTTACATTTATAATTTTAATGATATACAACTAGAAACCGAACTTATTAATAAGTATTAAACTAATAAAAAGTATTGTACAATTCCCATTCTTCGTTAAAAAAATGTATTGCCGTTATCAGCATTGATTTTTATTACAGTGTTTAGCGTTAGTCGGAGCTGGATTCTTACAAGTCGGAGTCGGCACAGAGCTGATTTGTTCGACAGTCATCATTGGAGCATTATCAGACCATTCGAATGAAAATGAATGGCTAACCATGACCAATGAGCAGATGTCTTGGTTTGGTGAGTATGAATATGTTTATGAATATAAAGGGTGTTTCATAAAGAACTCAGTTTTTAATTTTGATCATTAATGTCGGAGTTGATTCTGTTTCTTTAAACTTACTGACCTGCCTCGTCATTGTTGTGGCGGTCGGTGCTTAGTGGTGTCCTGGGATCGTATACTAAGTTTCCCAACAGTTACCACAACACACTCGTCGTGGGGGTTTTAATAGATAAAATATGTTGCTCGATCCTCGATTGTATGCCGCTCCAAGATGACAAATTGGAGACTGGAACCTTACCGAAAAGATTTCGATCAATCACTAAAAACCTCAACAACCATAGATAACAGAAATGATAAGAACAATGCCATCAACCTAATAACAAAAAACTGTCCAGCATTTCAAAAACTAAGTTATTTGTGAAACACCCTATATATTTATTTACTACCCATCTACCGCATCTGCAGTGTACCTACTGCTATACAGACCCCCCAATCCAACGAATGCGTCGAATTCGTTTTGTCCAAACTTTTCTACGCTCACGTCTTAACGAAGTGTAATAATTTTCCAAAACCATATTTAAAAAATATTAAATATGAAACAAAAAAAAAAAAATGAAAAACGTGCTACAAACACAGAGAAACACCTATATTTGCTACGACTGGAATGAAACAACTGTCAAAACTGCTGTATAGGTTTACTTGTCTAGTCTCCATACCCGTGACATATTTTACCGGATGTATCCATCGCAGGAAGTCTGTTGTACCTGTGCACGCCCCTGGGCAGCCTGATGGCGTCGTTGGTACTGGATCGGCTTGGCCACAAGAATTGCATGATAATCACCAACATACCGTACTTGGTGTCTCAGATCATGTTTTTCTATGCCGAAAACGTGGAGACCATGTACGCGTGCTCGATAATGATGGGTCTGAGCGTGGGATTCTCGGGCGGCCCGTTTTCCGCGTACATAGGCGAAGTGTGTGAACCGAAGCTCAGGGGTGCCCTGATGTGTGCTACAAATGTGTTCTTCTTCAGCGGTTCGCTCCTGTTCGCCACCATCTACGCCATCACCAGACAGTGGAGGTTGACCGTACTCATCAACATGGCCATACCGATCATAACTATTGCGATTTTGTGCATGGTGGGTAATTATAATATTATGGTACCTACATATTATATACGTACTTGTAAGATATTAGGAGTTATATTATACCTAAAAAATTTTGGTATTTCAAAACTCATTTTATGTGTAATATTAGATTATAACTATTTAGAAACATTTCACTTGAAGACTTATTCAAATAAGTATATTGTGAACATATTTTTTGTACCTTTGTATTCACTAGAAAAATACATTATATCGTAGCATGCAGGATAATAATTATTATTTGTAGCAAAAAGTTTATATATTTGTATAAATAATCTGACCCTAAACATTTTTTATTTAATATTTTACCCCGAAAGTCCGAAAACCGATACCCCGTCGAAAATTAATCTGCACACATAATGAATGCGTTTTATAAAGAATAATTCATTTCGTTTGCATAAAACATTTTAGCCAAAAATCACACCGGACGATGGAGAAGACTGAGAAGGGTTGGAAAAATTAAAACTTAATAATGAGGATATAATTATTAAATACGAATTATAACAAAAAAAAATTTGAAACTCATTGCGCAGTTATAATTTCAAATATTATTAAGATCGCTGTATTACAGTGTGGTATCACATACATATTATATACCGATCAACGATCGATATATTATCCCGCCAACCGTATAGCACGAAGATAAAAACAAAAGTCAATTATAACAATAATAATATTGTTGTATCCTCAGAGTCCGGATTCTCCGATGTGGTTACTGTCCAAGGGCAAAAACGAAAAAGCTCAACGGACGCTTGGCAAGTTACGGGGATGGGTGACACACGATAAGTGTTCAAACGAATTTCATGAAATGGTCGTGTTCATGTCTGCAAATAAAAACTCGTCAAGTAATTTTTTAATTTATTTCTTCATTGACACTATAAGCTATTAGCGAGTGTTGTCTATAATAATAAATAATTACTTTTAAATAAACTGTTTAATAGACGATAAAAACGGCAAAAATGATTCCGAAAGTTCTTGGAAACAACTGCTTCAGCCAGACGTGCTCAAACCTTTTCGTCTACTGCTGATATACTTTTTCTTTTCAAACTTGTTATCCGGAGTACCGTTCGCACCGTATCTAGTAGAAGTATTTATGACGTTTGGCGCCGACGTCGACGTCCAATGGACCATAGTAAGTATATAACTCAAAAGCTAAGATGTTTAACATTATTATTCGCATTAAAAAAAATTGTATTCAATATTTGTGTGGTTACTATTGGCACCTACTTAGTACTTATATTATATTATAGCTTATTTATTTATTATATTATAGGCGTTTTCTTTGGGCATAGCCATAGTTGGAGGCATATTGACTGTTTTCTTGGTGAACAGGCTTGGAAAACGATTTCTCACTTTAACGACGTTGTCGATTTGTTCTATTTGTTACATATCAATTGGATTGATTGGCGTCTATTGGACGGGTTCAAGGCAAATAAAATCTTGGTTATTACTAACATGCTTCCTCATTAGTACGTTTGTGGCATCGTTCGGCATAATGCCTATCGGATGGATACTTCTTACTGAAATATTCCCCATGAAGTGAGTACAAATCAATTGCCACTCGAAACATATAATATAATAATATTTATAGGTAATATGGTTTATCCGATTGAAAGTTTATAACAATAAAAGCAGAACACTATAATTTATTATAATATTAATCTGTTTTTGTTAATGTAAACATAAATCATAATTGGCGGGTACTTAAACCTGAAAATAATAAACAATGCTTGTGTAAATCTAAGTGCATTACAAAATTTAAAAAGCAATGGGTACCTACTCTAAAGATTATAATAATAAATTATCATAAAATTGCTTATGTAAACAGCATATTACACTAATTCATAAAACAAATAAATCAATACCAGTGTTAATATAACACAGATATTGAGATATTATTTATTGTTAAATAATATGTTACATGTGTACCTTTATAGACAAAGACAATAATACATCTTGAGATAAAATATATGTCATCGAGAAAGAAATTTCACTGTAATCTATGTTACGTAAATAATAACAATAAATGTTTTTAACACTTGTTTCAGGAGTAGGAACATAACTTGTAGCATTTGTTCCACGCTGTCTTTCATTCTCAGTTTTTTTATGACCAAGTATTATCCAAATGTCGTCGATTTAGTGGATTTCTACAATACATTTACTATATTCGGATTTGGAGGTTTGATCGGTTGTGTGTATTTTTATTTTTTTCTACCTGAAACTGAAAACAAGACATTGAAAGAAATATCGGAGTTTTTCAAATAAACTAAAAAAAAAGGCAATTTTGAGCAAAAATGTGTTGTACGAGACTATCGTAGTAATAATATATATATTATCAAGTATTTAAATTTATTGTATACCATGTATTGATGTATGTAAATAATGAACACAAATAATTAACCATTTAATAAGATACATATTATGCTTAGTGTTTGTAGTTTGTACACTATTTGTCCACATTTAGCTGATATACTAGATATATTTTGTACATTTGTTTTAACTACATATTAGATATTCTTTCTTTTTTTAAATGTAAATAAAATAATTAAAATTAGTACTATTAGATTTTTCTAATAATTGTTCCTTGATATTATTATGTATGATGTTATATATTTTTATTTCTTGTATTATTTTAAATTGTAAATATTGAAAGACACAAATCTAAAAATATTATTTTATTGCTTATTGAAATACCTCGGACTTTTAACTTTTTTTCAATTTGTTCTGGACAATATAGTTTGAAAATTATGATTAAACATTTTTCTTGTACTTAAAATATTTACTTGAATTACAATCAATAAAACAATTGTGCTACGGTACACCAAACAAGGCATTGGTAGTTTCAAAGAGCAATTTTTCAGCAAAAATTAAAACCCTTTCGTTCAAAGCCCAAGTAATATATAATTACTAATAATTATTAAAAAATATTTCTAGTTACAATGTAATTTTATTTTAGTTGTGATACAGTTGGAACTCTTTTATTTAATTTTACTGTGTTCATGTTTTTGTTATTATTATTATAATTATTATTTTTGTAATATTTAATAAGTATGATATTATTTGTCACATATTTAATATGTATTAACCACAGGCAATGTTAATTGTTTTCTTCTTTTGTATAGGGCAGTGAATGTTATACTTTAATAAAGTATAAAAACATTATACATATATTATACTCATTCTTATTTTAAAAATCATTTAAAGTATAAAATATAAAATATATTCAATACGGTATATAGAGCAATTGTAGGTAGGTAACCTATCTATCTAATGTTTGACAAAATTACGTATACCTAATTATTGTTTGGTTAATTTTATTCATTTTAGTAAATTTTAAAATCATAATTATTTTTATTATTTACTGATCAGCATTTAAAATATTTGATACATTTACATTTACATTGATACTTTTATTGTATAATATTCTATAGTCAGTACTGCATAATCTTACCTGTATATTAAACTTTATGATGTTTCAACATTAAGATCCCCCGTGTATATACTTCTACACCTTACATAATATACTATATCCTATTATCCTGTCTAGTCTATACTTTTTTTATGACTTAAGTATAAGAACTAATATTTCTGTGACAAAATAATAAAATAATACTGTACTGGTTTCATTACAGAAATATTTGCATTTAATGTATTATTTAAGGTATTTATCATATTGTTCAGTGTTTACCTACACATGAGGCTGCGTACACACATAAGGTACAATATAACCTTCAGCTTAAAACACACTCCATACCTAAATAATTTAATATTAATTACAAGAAATACTGTTTTCTTAAAATCGTTGTGAAAATACTAATTTTGTAGATCAAGAGTGGTCTTAGAAGTAACAATAACATCATATAAATAATAATTATAAGTAAACAAACAAATAAACGATTTCTTTAAAAAATGAAAAATGTATTCAACAGTAACCTGATATTATTATTTCATTAACATGTGGTCTATGCAGTTTACACAGATAATGCATGTTAAGCTATAGAATCACATGACGTGTATACACTATATTCACATATTGCATCCACGGTAAAGTCATGCAACGCGTTTAATTCCGGAAATTATTTTGAGGAAGTTGTAGAACTCGTTAACAATTTCTTAGAACCGAAACGTATATAATAATGGGTAAAGATACCCATACCTTGGGCAACAGATACTATACGGTAAAAAATACTCCTCACTCTCTTTGTTGTTGTTACTCTTTATTAATTTTTTCATCGATCGGGGAACGTTTATATTATATACACGAACAAATACCAAATAATATCCCGACGACGGTCCTTGACTATCACCCGAAACGCCTTGACCGTCCTCTCAGTGCGGCGACACGGAGTCAAAACGCGTATTCATAGTAAGTTACCACTCCACACCGGGTACACTGGTACACACAGATACATGTACCACATCACCGTAGTGGTAAATACCTCACTATTATTTTTGTCGTGTGTGGGTCCGACCGTTGAGTTCGTTATTTATCACCGCAAATAATTTATTATAATATTATTACACTATATCGCGTTATAAGTTATTGTTATTGTATCGGCGATGGCCGAACTTAAATCGTCGAAAATAGACGCGGAAAATGGCAAGAGCGAGTACAATTTGTTTAAATCCTCCTTAGCTCAAGTATGTATGGTTTATTTGTTTATTTTTGTACTTTGCTTTTAACGGTTATGACATGTTTGTCGGTACGCACGTTGAACAACCGAAATTGTTGTCCTTATATGATTACAGTACGATTATTAAGTTAATTGTATTCAGGACTATGACCGATTTTTATTTGCAGTCGGAGTAATATATACCTAACCAAAAACGTGCCTATATAAATTATATTTAAATAATTATTTAGATTTTAGGTGCATCGTGCATGTGAAGAGCTATTTTTTTGATCTATTGGTTAAACAAAGCATTTTGTATATTATTTTAGTGTGTTGTAGCGCATTAGCATAACTTTTATTCAATTAATATTATTACAAAACCAAAATGTTAGTTTTATGATTAATATTTATTAAAATCATAAGTTTAAATGTGTTATGTAGGTGCTTAAAGGTTTTGAAGTGAATATTTCATAGGTGACAGTGGATCAATTACACATTTAACGTTCAACGTATTAACTAAATCATTCTTATTTTTTTTATTTATACTAGACATACGTGTACATATTTATTATTATTCGTTTATTAACATATTAATTATTATATATTTGTGAAAAATATTATACTTCCAATCAAAGTTAAATATCCATTTAAGTGTTTAGTTTTGTTATATGTACTGATTAAACTGACACACACACACACACAATAAGTGTTGTATTGTGCTATAATTCATTTTCGTATGAGATTTAAATAATTAACGACTAATTCTTAAAAAAATAAAAATATATATTAATTGGTTATATATACACATCAATTATGACTTATAATATTATACTTATACTTTTTAAACTTGAAAAAATGTTAGAATTCAATATTATGAATCTTTCGGTTTAGCATTTTTTTATACCTTAAATAAGTGTACACGGATATACTCAAAGTTTGTTATAATTACGCAAACACTGTTTAAGTAAAAACATTTTGACTAATCATTTCGGCATTATTTTTTATAAGTTTACTTATATGTATATAGATTAATAATGTTATATAATGATATAAAACAATAATTCATGTATAATTAAATTTAGATAGCAATAAAAATATTTTTAAGGCCCCGACCAATTAGTTTGTATATTAATTTAATCTATAAAATGAACATAGTCCATGATAGTTAAAATATAATTTATTTACAAACGTAATGCATAATAATTGTTTAAAAAATTTAACAATATCCAGTCAATTACATAATATGTATACAGTATACAGATGGCATATTTTAAAATTTCAAATAGGATACGAGTTGGAACACTTGGAATTTAATGGATTTATTGTAATTATTTTTCAAAAATACTAATAAGTATTAACCGTACGATATATTATTATGGGTTACTGTAGATCCTAATCATATATTTAATGTTTATCTTTATTTTTAAAAATCACCAGTAAAAAGTTATGAATTCCACTAATATTTATAATTAGCACACCAGCCTTGATCTGAATTCAAATGATTATTCTTTTGAACTGAGACAATAAACATTTGGAAGTGCATAGTAGGTAGGTATACTTTTGCTGTTGCAGTGTTCAAACTAATCAAACTCATAGAGTCGAACGATTAGAGAACGTTATTGAAGTAGAAAGCCGGAACAGCGCACGTCAAGGATCTTTGATGTATTAAAATAATGCGAAACTAGATTGATGTCGACCTCATGGTGCGCTCATATGCGAATGCCATTGATATACAATCGTGTTGATTAATCAATATTTGCGGGTACCTGTACAAGTGTATAAGTACAACTATGTAGAATATAATCGTGAACACAAAATTATCATTTCAAATGTACATAATATAGATACATTGGCATATCCGTCATTTGCCGAATAAAATAAATGCATGAGAATAAAAAAAAAACTAATCGTTATTAGGTACGTATATTTCAATTGCAATCGGTTTGATGTAATATGATTAATGACGTTACTCTTATTATAGCGTAATGGTCATAAATCCATAAGGTCATTTATAATAAAATTAAAAAAACATTTTATTCAATTTTTAAAGGACGAAATGATTATGTTTTACTATAATCATATAATGATATCGACAATACAAGCATCAACGATCTATTATTGATGTCGAAAACTCGAAAAACTTGATAAGCATATCAATTGGTATTGTATAATCAAAAGCGTCTTTAAGAGGTATATACCTTGTATATACAATAAGAACGAAAGTTTAACCAGAGAATCATAATTGAACCGACAGTCATCCATTATACTTTGTTCTAGTCTGCATTTCAGAATTGATTTAAAATAATAATTATTGTTTGGCCAGCTTTCTCCGATTATTATATTATTAATATGTGTGCATAAAAGATAATAATATGATATGCAATACCATAAAGTGATTGTTCCAAATATTCCAATGATGAGAGGATAATGGCAGTGTGCAGGTTATGTGACCTTGTGGGGTGGGATCGCTCCGGGCAAAAGCTATAGCACTACATTATTATAATTATTACTACCTATTCTACAATAAAAAAATGCATAAATTACATTTATTATTATTCAAGTAGGTACAGCACAATGGCAATGATGATTTAATATATTTATGTTCTGTTTCACACTACATAATAATATATTTTTAAGGTGTTTTCGACAGTGTAGTGTGAATTCAATATAATAATAGATATGTCAATAAACTTCCGAAGTCAGATTACAACATGATTGAATAATCAATTATAAAATGTAAGAAGTTAGACAAGTATAATGACATTTACTAAATGTAATAGAGACAAAAACCAAGTTGAATGAAAAATAAAATGCTCCTTCCCATAGGTACCTATTATCTACAATAATACCAGCTGCAGCTGTGTGAATAATTAAAATCGACCAGTTCAAATACATTTAAAGTCAATACGCATTAAGCCAACGAATAATTGACTTTTTGAACGTAGTACGCTTAAAAATAAAATAATACTTAAGTCGTTTACTTAGGGTATTTTTCGGTATTTAAATTATCAAATAAACTAGGGATCGAAATTGACTTTATCAAACAGTTATTATAGTTATAAATATATATTTAATAAAAATATTTCTTACATACTCTTTGTTTTTGAATAGTTTATAATAAACTCAGAGAAATATAATATTATATTAGTGCTGCTTATTGAAAGCATTTAAAAATAAATCGCCAAAAAATACAGTTTAAATGTGATAAAAAAGGACCTATAAAAATGCAAAATTAACGTCTCAAATTCGAATTTGCTGTCACATAACTCAAACTTGAAAACTTTGTGTTGGGAAAGCTACACTGTACGATATAAGCTATAAAATAGAAATAAAAATGCAACAAATTGCATCACAAACGCGCTTCAGCTGTAATTATTAATACTAAAATCCACAGATCGGTACGATCATCGTTCAGAATGTGATAATGTTGGGCTTTGGCATGTCGCTGGCCATACCAACGGTGGTCATCGGGTCGCTGATGACGGACAACGTCGACGGCGGCGGAGGCGACAGCATGACCTTGACGGAAACGGAAGCGTCGTGGTACGGCAGCGTGCTGCTGGTATGTCACCCGACGGGAGGTCTGCTGTCGGGCGTGCTGCAGGAGATCGTGGGCCGCAAGTGGTGCATGGCCCTGGTCAGCGTACCGCAGCTGGTCGGCTGGTACGTGCTGTGGAGAGCCGGCAACGCTTTCGATCTGTACGTGTCGTGCGTGGCGCTCGGCCTGAGCATGGGCCTGAGTGAGGCGCCAGTGCTGACGTACGTGGGTGAGACGGTCGAGCCCAGGCTTCGTGGCCCGCTGTCGTCGGTGTCCACGTTCACCATCATGCTCGGTTCGTTCGTCGCGTACCTCATGTCCACGGTCATGCCTTGGCGGACCGTCGCCATGATCAACATGGCCGTGCCCGTCATATCGTTTGCCGCCGTCGTGCTCCTGGTAAGCATATAATATGATATTACATTATTATTATTTATTATTATCATACATTTTCTTTTCACGTTATTATTATGTGGACTATAAGTATGGCAGTATTTTTTTGCTAATTTTTTAAAAATAGTTAAGCTGAAAATGCGGTTATTGCCGAAACTTAAAACATCGTTATAAAGTTGCAATTCACGATTATAGGTCTGCGGTACATTTTATTTGTAGCGAAAAATTCACTTTGTTTTCCTCTCAGATGAAATTATTATTATAGCCTCCGCGTACACGCAATATACATAATATATCAGTAAACATTTCAGACAAACCGAGTATCAGTGTGCTCATATTTGATATTTTTTATACTTTTCGTTTTTGCAAACTAAACATCATAGTGTATGTGGTATAAGGTACCTACATTGAAATTCTTTGTACGGAGGAACTCCCGTAAGACGTAGAAAATAATATCCATTATACATGTAAAAAACAGATAAAACCTTTAAGAACAATATTACATTATATATTACAATATATACTAATTGGTATTACCTAGATCAAGCAGATCGAGTGGTTGAGGTTTTCAATTTATTTTTAATTATTTTTAATTAGCTTTTTAAATCATATCCCAGAATTCTGAATACATATTTTAATGAGCGATCAGTGAACATTATATACAGCCGAATCTCGATAGTTCGAATTTCAAAGAGATTAAAAATAAATTCGACTTATGAATTTTTCAAATTATATACCTACCTCAAACGTTGTGTTAAGAATACTTCAAGGGACAAGAAAAAAATTCGAGTTATCGAGACTACTATCGAGACTCGACAGTATATACTCTATGTTCGTCTCATATTATATTTTGACACTGCCATCACTTCACTAGGGTCTCTACACGCTCTACATAATATTATTATAGATGCATTTATTTACGCAGACACCCGAATCGCCTGTATGGCTGTTGTCGAGGAACAGGCCCGAAGAGGCTAAAAAATCACTGGCCTACCTGAGGGGTTGCGTGAGCACGGCCGACATAGAAGACGAGTTTTCCGAACTTTCGATCTACGCGGGATTCAACAAGTCCGTCGATCTCGAGCAGTACGCCGACTGTGGGATAGATCAACGTCGTCTGTCCTACGTCAAGTACCTGCAGATCAACACCAACGACACTACCAACGGTAAGCATAGACGATAATATTATTTATTTATTTATAACAATTACGAGCGTGAGCTCAATATACACAATATGTCAATATGTATGCACACATAGTATGAATACATAACAAAAATAATAATACTTGGTGTAAGGTGAGAGACTCGGTTCTGAAGTAATTGATTGAGTAATGGGGAATAACATAACATGAATTATTGCGCGTGTTTTTAATTGAAACTTATATATATTATTTTATACCGAGTGCAAGTAGAGAAGGAGAGTCAACAGAGCTAGTGCGGAGTTTTTGAAAAAAGAGTACATTCTATGTTTTTGACGATGGGGAACGGATAGTATTTAGTCATGAGTTACGCAGTTAATATTAAAAGTGTATTTTATAAAACTTAGAGATCTGAACAGGACAAGCTCGAGTCGTTTGCGAGTGTTTTTTTTTTTTTCATGTTTTTTTTTCCGTTCTAATCGTATTGTTTCTGTTCGTAATCTATGAATCTCAAACAACCGAGCCATATTTAACAATAGGTCTGACAAGTGAATAAGAAATTGCTACAAGTGAGTTGGAGAGTATTTGAATTCCCCAGATATTCTTTCAATAATAAAATGAGGCTAAGTCTTCGTGTATCCGAAATACTGTAGGGGTAGGTTTCCTAAAGAAATCAACGCTATTTGAGGATGTACGATTTTTGTAATTTATATATATAGGCATTAATATTTAATATAATATGTTTTTACAGCCGAAATTGACATTCTCGCCAACCAAAACCAGGTCGGTTTTCTGGACACGCTGAGAAGTTTTTGGTCACCAGAACTTAACCGACCGTTCTTCTTCATAATGCTCTTCTTCTTCTTTTGGTCGTTTGCCACGTTCATACCGGCCAAACCGTACCTGATAGCTGTGTTTAGCGAAATCGGTTTACCGTGCACTGCTCAATGGACACTGGTCTGTTATTTTTTTTACGTTTAAATTATATTGTTGTATACTTTTAAGTTTTAACACATACTCTTCATACGATATTTTTTTAAACATTCACAATAATTCGTAATAGGTAGTTAATTCTTCTCGTTTTTTTTATTTATTTTTTTTTAATTACAATATATCGTTTGAAGATTATATTTTTTGCTAATCGTGTTATTTTTATTTTTAGGTCTATACTTCTATATTGACCTTGGTAGGAACTCTGCTGAATGTATTGACCGTCGCAAAGTTCGGCAAACGTCCTATCACATTGATTTCGATGGCGCTATGTGCTTTTTCAATGCTTGGAATTGGAATGTACATGCTTTCTACTACTTATTTCTCATTTTCGTCTACGTGGATACCGATGATATTGTTAAACGCATTATTCTTCTTTTCCGGTTACGGTGTGTTTCCCATTCCATGGATGTTGGTCAGCGAAATATACCCGACAAAGTAAGTTTAGAGTTTTTTATAGTTACATAATAAAATTATATGATAAAAATATATGTACATAAAAAATGATAATAGTTTACCAAAATGTATTGAAACAATGTTTTTACTATATAGGGGACGTGGCATAGCAAGCGGGCTAACTGCCGCGTTGGCGTTTTTGATGACGTTCGTTTTGACGAAATTTTTTTTGGAAATGGAAGAGTGGTTCACTCTCCCCGGGTTGTTCATCGTTTATGGATCGATCACGTTAGTCGGGACTCTATACCTGTACGCGTGCATGCCCGAGACTGAAAACAAAACGCTGCAAGATATCGAACACTTTTTTATCGGCGACTTGGACGACTACGAAGACCACGATATTCAAAACTGACCCATCGCCAACAAACCACAGCGTCAAAATATTCCTAATTTGTTATTCGCAAAAATCAACATTGTTCACTATAATTTATATTAATTTAAACGTATTTATTATTTATTGTTAACTTGAACGCCATTACATTATATTGTACATTACTAATATAAACAATAAACGGTGTTTTTAAATATTTAGGTACCCACTGCAAAATGACTGAGGAGAATCCGATATTATGTTATAGCTGAAATAGAGCATAATAATATGATCTATACAAAACGTATTAATTTATTTTCCGAGAAACATGTGTATTACATTTATACGACAATTAATGAAAATTAAATTACAAAAAGAAGCATAACCTACACAAATATCAATTAATTGATAATATGTACATAGATTGTCGATACAAATACAATTACTCATTAGTCATTACTATTCACGATTGTGTCGAAAATTAGAACACAAGCTATATTGGTACAATACAATTAGGTATGTAAAATGTAAACAACGACGGGTGTATAAAGCCTATACGAATAACATATTATATGAATAGCTTGTATAATATATTCCTAACTTTGCTATTTTATTCCAATTATTTACTTAAAAGTAAAGATTAAAACTATGATGATTTTGTTAACAAGTTCAAATCATGACGTATAATACGGTTGACAAATAAATGATTCGTTTACTTTATTAATAGTATTTTTATAAATTAACACAGAGTAAATAATTTTGTTTGTCAGATGACTATTTACTATTTGGATTAGGTATTATTACGTTTAACAGACTTTTGACGTCATAAATATTTTTAATTTTATAAATATACCGTAAGTGACTTGTTAACAACTTGCTATTCACAAATGACGAATGACGCAGATACTTATGAATTGCACACTCGTTATCATTTCCAGGCTTCACATGAATAGTCGAATAACATGTTAGTTGTACCTAAGTCGTTTTTGAAATAATGCGTTAAGCATAATAATATATATGATAATGATTTAACACATTTTTCATATTCCGTGTGTCGATACTTAAAAAAATTTAAATTGTATACACCATTATACCAAGATGAAGGCAACAATTTTTAATTTTTTTTTAATTTACGTACATTTTTTAAAAATATTGTATATTTAAAATTTAAAAAAATTGTACATTTATGACAGTAATTATTTTATTTTTATTCAGTAACTGATTATTTACAATTATTTTCGATTTTTTATTACCTTAGGCACAATTTCAAAATACGTTATAATATTATACTACATGAGTCATGACAGTTGTTACTTGAGATAACTATATAATATGTTATGCGTAAATGACTCACAGCAAAAATCTATATCTGATTTAACTGATGTTTAATTTCGTAAATCGGTTCACTGCAGCTTATATATTATAATGAATATTATTTTGAATTTAATATGGAACTGTATTATATATTTGAGTGACATATATTTATAATTTATAAATAATTAGTATAAAAATACAACTAGCTACTTGCGCGCTTATCTGGCTAGGCCTTCTATGAACATTAGTATTGTGTCAATACAACAAATTAGAGTACAAATCATTTTTGCTATGCACGAACTCGTTGACCGACTTACAGATTTTTGTAGTCCACATATTATATTTTCGATCACTCTTCTTCAGCGTATCTGTCCTGTTAATCATTTTTCCGGTGTGAGCACTGTTCAATTAGTAGTAGTGTTATTTCGGGACAACTCCGATTAACGAAAAACCGGACTTAGTCGATCCTACCGTGTTAGCACTGCCCTCACATTATTTATCCCACCAATTCTATACTTAACGTCGTTGATTCTTTTATCAAGGGCAACCCAGCTCGTATCGCCATTCGTGGCCTTTGTCTTAAATTTTAATATTATTAGTGTGAAATGTGAATGCGCATTTGTATAAGGCCTATCTATCTAGGTAAGCACTGCAGTCACACACAACAGTATGTGGAAAGCACTAAAAATGACTAAAAACGTTGACTAAAAATGGAAAGCAAAATTTTCCACTAAAAAAACGCATCATTGTAAAACCAATAAGTTCATTGCTCCGCTCAGAATCTAAAACTGTGTAATTTCTTTATAAAAAAAAAAATGATGCTGATAAATGCTTATTCTATCATGTTTATGGTAAATGCAATAATTTGGGTCGTTTTCTTTGAAGTTTATTATTATTTGTAACTTTGCAGACGTAGATTTTCTCGTTAAAATTACACAACCTTGTAAACTTCGTTTAGAACAAGTTCAATCGAATGAATAATAAATCGTTCAAAGTCTATTACTGGTCAAAAGGTGTACTATTTAATTAGGTATATTATTTACATGCGTTATGCATATTAATAATATTGTATTCTTAAAATTAAGTAACATTTAATATGTAAATACGTAATGGATATATGGCGCATTGTTATCGACACGTCATCAAATATAAAATAAATATGACCGAATCACCTACTAAAATAAACAAAATTCCTTAATATAAAAAATAACACCCAGAGATCATAATAATAATTGTTTCTCGTTAAACATACAACATTATAAAGGTCGTTAACCACATCGTTGCACATATTTTCATAATAACAATCATAATAATATGTACCGTCACCTGCACCGATCGCGAAATTTCGCTTGACCGAGCACAAATAATAATAATATTGTTGTTACAGCTAATGCGTGCCCGTGGAGATTCGTTCGGTATAAATACAGTCTGCTATCGAACACAAATCAGTCGTATAATCATTCAATCGGCACAAATGTTCGGGGAGAACGTACCTAGGTAACATTATCTCGGTTACGTACGTTTTGAGTTGGTTCTGTATGTCACGCGAGTCGTGATTTTTCTTTTTCTCTTAAAAATACAAAAAATCGAACTCGCCGAGTGCGCGATACTACTTACTACCGCCGTTTAGGTACATCGTGTGTACTATAATTATTGGAGCGCGTTTCGGTGCCGTTTTCTCGACCTTTGCGCTCCAATTGCACATAATAATAATAATTATATTATACATTGTTTATATTATATCTGCCACTGCAGCTGCTCGCAATCGAATAGTTTAATCGAACGCACAGAAACCCGCGTTGCGCTCATACGGCGCCTTACAGCATCCGAGGCAGCACGTGCAGCTCGTCAAAATCAAAATCAAACAACCGGTTTTTTATAACAACGATAACCACAAGTGCGTGAAAACATAACATATGTCTCGTGATCATGAGTGACTCAATGTAGTGTATTCTCGTGTGGTTATAGTTTAGTATCGTTGAACACAGCTGTCAGTGTGCTAATCTCGTTTTTCGGGATTCCTTCGGGATTTCGACGCGTTGCGGGCGCGGTAAAACAATTTTTACGATATTCGGCAGTGCGCACACATAATACGACTAACCCGCAATTATATCTTTGAACATATCCACAAAAGATTTCGTCCGTTGGCGGACTTTTGAAATTTGTCATCATCTTTTTCCTTTGCAACCGCCGAAAATCGTACATCGCAGTCATGTTCAACAACACTAGCAATCTACTGCTGCAGACCATGCTGTACTTGGCACAGACGGACAACATCACGTTTCCGTTGAACTACACCGCGGACGCGAACAACGTCATTTTAGAAGGCGACAGTGAGTAATTAAGCCTAAATACTCTGTTTTTTTTTTGGACCCTTCAAGCCGTCACGGCGATTTATCGTACAACGTTAACAGTTTCGCGTTGTTAAATATTTATATCTAATAAATACTGGATTTGGATAGATGTTTACCTGCAACTTACTTCATCTAATAATATTATCGTCATTCGCGACGTGTAAACCAAATTCCTCTTAGTATACATAATATAATACACTGTATATTAAAATAATCCATCACTTTCGGATTATTATAGATCGTGCCACCTATAAGTTTAGCCATCTCGCTCGGTGTACGTGAAACGCGCTGTTATATTATGATGTAGGTATATTATTTTTTATAATCGCTGCAGCGTTTTGGCAATAGCTGCAATGGTTTTGACCATTTTTGTTTTTCCGTAGAATTATTGACCGAGACTTAGCCAAAAACTACCAAAACATACTTGATTTATCCATGCTTTAATATTATTATTATTCCAGTACCTATACCTATACCTATTCTAAACTCATACGGCCATACTACTACAACAGAAAAAGCATTGCAATTTGCATCTAATACAGGCATTCTGCATCGCTTATCGAACATAACATATTATATATTAATATTCACGAAACTACGTAAGCAAGTCGAATATTGTACCTAAACGTTTCGACCGACTGAACTATAAATTATAATCTATTATCGTGATTACAGTACGATTACCAATATTATTTCTTCTGTCTAAGCCTTACAGCTGGTAGACTTCAAGATCTTCCAATTTTATTTCCATCGACTTGTACCAGTTTTTGTAAATTGTAAGCAAGTAGTTGAATCCATTCGGCCTAATTACAACTATTTGACACTTCGTCAACTCCAAACTCAACATTTTTGACATCCGAAATCAGTAACTTATTAGTTATTATGTATATTGTATTTATAGGCGTGCACAATTTAACATTTCAAAGTTCGCTAGGTCTTAACTATTTTAGAACCTTGAGGAATTTAACAAAATAACAACACGTTATTTTTTAAATACCCGATAACAATGATAATAATAAATTATTGTTAGATACCTATATACTATGTTACAGTTTATTTTGCAATGTTATTACCATAAATGTTGTGAGTTGTGACGTTATCGCAAACTGTGGACTTATAAATTGATGTGCGAAGTATATACAATTGGAGAAAACTATATTTACCAAGTGTTGAATGCGACTCAGAGTCCACAGTGTAGCATGCCGGTTTTCATTGATTATGAAATTGATAATAATTATTGTTATTACATATTAGTGTTATTACTGTGTCGTATACTCGTATAGCATACACGTACAGAGTTTAATTGACCAATTTAGGTATAATAACAAATATAAAACTTTTAATTCTACGGTTTAATTAATTTAAATTACGCTGTTATTATAAATTGTTATGCTACATACAAACATATTATTGAAATTTAGTATCGAATATCATGTAAAACTACAACTGTCGTCTGTCAAAATAACTAATTATTAATTATTGCCATTGACTAAACCCTGTTGTATAGATCTAAAAAAAATTATTTCAAATGAATATTTTTAATAGTCTAATGCTCCATTTAAAAGCCAAATATTTTACATTGGTATATTTCAAATATTCAACACAATTAATAACGTCTTCGCTAATTTTGAACGCATAGAGTTAATTGTGGCTATCACTTGCCGGGCTATAAAGTAATATCGATTGATACATATGATGAGAATAAAAAGTATATTTTTCTGTATCAAAAACTTGAATGCGATAGGTGTTATAAGAACACGAAACGGTTAACTTCCTTTTTTGTGTAGGTACATATGCTTTATATCGTCATCGATATACAATTTTAGTGTTTAATGTTTCTGAGAGTAATTGGGGTTTTGTTAATTGTTTTCATACATTTTTGTACAAAATAGGGGATACAAAGTGTAACTGGATGAAAATTAACTTAGTGACGCTGCAGTGGTTTGTATTATAGAACCATACAAATATATATGACCATTCTTATACTTTTACAGGAAACCCATACGGTATAATATTTTTGTGAGGGGATCTATCGATTATCCAATAGCACCTATTTTGAGTAAATAAACCGTCACAAAAAAAGTTAAGTTGTGGCTTTATTACAAAGAAAAACAATTTACTCGACAATCACAGGAAGTCTATATTGCTATAAAATAAAGTAGAATATATTATTACTACAGTCGAGTCTTGATACCATGAATATCAAGGGGAACGAAAATAAACTTGAGACTGTCCATCTCAAATATCAGTTATTGCCGTAAGCCGTTATAGGTTCTAAAATATTACGTAACGAAATTAGAGATTATTGAATGAAATTATTATATTAATTTATATTATTCTTATATTTTGATAAAATTGTATATATACATATATATCACACTGGTTTAAGGCCAGTTCAATGTAATACGTATTATAATTATTGTTAAGAATTTAATAATGCTCTTAAAATACATTAAATAAGCATTTTCAAGAGCTTAAAAAAATAGAAATATGCTTTAAAAATATTCACTAATTTTTTTCAAACGAATATCTTATAAAATTATAAAAGATAAATCCCAGAGTCAGATCAGTTAGGTATTCTTAGGTTAGTTGTAATGAATCTGATGAGTCTTTGAAGTCTATAGTTACACTCTTATAAAAACACATTGGTAAACAAGTAGGTAAGTACACCTATATTATTGTAAATACAACTTCCAATAGCCCTGATTCTGATCAATTGTAATCACACATACATACTCGAGCTGTGCGGTGTTCTTGCAGACGTGGAGGTAAAGTGCTACGGCGAGTACGGTTGTTTCTCGGTGGCCGGCCCGTGGCAGGACGTCTCCTCCAGGCCGGTAAACGTGTTCCCGGAAAAGGCGGAGAAGATCGCGCCGCGGTACTGTATGTACACGCGCAACAACAGGAACGCGTGCCAGTACTTGAACCACAAGGACCGCAATTCGGTGATCACGTCCCACCTGATCCCGTCGATGCCCACGTACTTCATCACTCACGGGTTCTTGGAGGGCGGCGACCGGCCGTGGCTGAAGGAAATCGCCCGGCAGATCCTGCGACGGTACGACGCCAACGTGATAATCATCGACTGGGAACAGGGCTCGGGGTCGCCGTACACGCAGGCCGTGGCCAACATACGGATGGTGGGCAGGATAACGGCACACCTGATAAACGTGATACGAGTGAGTGACATTTGAATTGTTGCCACAATATAAGTACGATATATTTAGTTAGCTAACTATATTTACAAGTTATGTGTAGGCACACGCTACAGCACATCGTGTGAACGTTATTCGGGCCCCTGAGAAATATTCTTATAATCTTCTTATATTTCTTTATTTGAATTTCGATAGAACATGAATGTAAATAATATAAATACGCAACTAAATAATATTTAAAATCGTTACTCCTTATAGTCGCCTCTTTGGGTTTGTGTAAAAAAAAATTAATGTACCTTTAGTATTATGGTCTAACATGATATACTGTATGACACAAAGGTTTCTCAACCGATTACAATCGTATCGAGTTAATACTATATATAATATATTAACCGATTGGATCATTTTGTTCGGTAATATAATACATCATTGATTAAATATGTGTATATAATACAATATAATGAACAATACAGTATACTTATTTATACATTGTCATCGTAGAACTTTTAAATTTAAAAACATCAACATTTAATTGTAAAAATATTTAATTCGCATATGAAATATAATTCTCATCTATTATTTTTCAAAGAGTTATAAATGAAGAATGATTAGAATGTTATTTACATAATATTTATAATAACTAGTATCATACATAATCTATTATATAAATATATATTTATTGACCATATAAAAACCATTTTAATTGTAAAATCTAAAAGTTCTAAAATATTGCGTATCTTATCGCATCACACCCAGTTCGGTATTGGCATTTGTGCTCCTTCTTTAATTCCCTTATTTTTAAATTTAATTTAATCTTTCTAATTTTATCCTAATCAATAATTTTTTTAACAATTTACATCCCCCTTATAATTTTTTTCGAATTCAATTACTGACTTAACTACAATATTTACTACTATATTTATTATATTATGATATTTTTATGCGTAGACAGAACTCGGATTAAACGTCGCCAACGTTCATCTAATCGGTCATAGTTTAGGATCACATCTCTGTGGTTACGTCGGGAGCGTACTGAGGACAAACTTTGGCGTGACGGTGGGTCGAATTACTGGTTTAGACCCGGCTGAGCCTCATTTCAGCCAGACCGATCCGATGGTGAGGTTAGATCCTTCAGACGCCTTGTACGTGGACATCATACACACCGATTCCAGGCCGTTTATAAAAGGAGGCGAATTAGGTATCTATATAATATAAATTATTATAATATTGCTTTATTATTGCAATATTCTGTATAATAAAATATATAATGTTATTTTGCACTCATATACATATTTCTAAGAATAATCATATGTTTATTCATTGTCTGCTGCAGGTCTGGGAATGAGTGCACCGATAGGGCATTTAGATTTTTATCCAAACGGAGGTGAGAATCAACCGGGGTGTAATCAAGGTATGATGAAGTATATTAACCGCGAAAACGGTAGTTTCTATCAAGGAATGAGAAGATTCTTGGCCTGCGATCATGTCAGAGCACACGAATATTTTAACGAATCCGTGAATACACTTTGCAACTTTGTAGCAATTGAATGCGATTCTTATGAAGAATTCTTAAGTGGAGAATGTTTTTCATGCTTGAGCGATACGGTTCGTACATAACACATTATTATCATTACCTATTAATTATTATAAATAATATTACAAAATTTATTTTCATCTAATTACTCAATGGTTTAGAACCCTGATGGTAAAATCTGTGCAGAAATGGGTATGCGATCGTCGGGCCACTGGAAAAAATATGCCGCTACTATTGCCAGTTCCATTGATCCTAATGCATCTCCACACATACGTTTATACTCGCTCACCAACGGAGACTCACCATTTTGCAGTATGTATAAAAATTATAGAATCAACTAAAGACTTTTTCATTAATTTTAGATTTGAATTTTTGATACATAATAATACATTTCTGTAACTACTCTAAATGTCTGAACAATATATTATATGAACTTCGATGAATGCCAACAACAATATTAGATTTTGACTTTAAAAAAAAAGTTCGAATTCAAAAGTTTTTAAAATAATATTTTTCAAACGGATGAATTAAAAAAAAACTTATTACCGAAGTTTAATATTATAGAAGTATTATATTAACGTATATAGACAATACCTACACATGTATGATCGGATATAATTTTCAAAATACGAATGCTCCATATATTCTCGATGCGACAATGTGGCATAGATACTAAACTGGTATTTTATATTAAAAACCTGTAGTTATGCAATTTCTCACATTTATGTTTTAGCGTATTTATATCGAGTGACTTTGACTTTGGCAAATTCACAATTGAGCAAAGACCATGGTGGTGAAGTAGGGCATTTTTTGGTGCAGCTCGAAGGAACTGAATCGAAGTCAAAACTTTTGAACGTATTCAAGTGAGTGTATTATATGTATTCTAAAGACAGACTGTAAATTGTAATAAATATATACGTGTACCGTGTACGATGCACGTGGTGTTTTTCAACCACATAAAATTTATTACTATATTATAAAAGTATGATGTGTGCATATATAGGTAAAAGTGCTATTATATCTCTCACTTAAAAAAAAAAAATCTCCACTGATAATAATAAATGAATTCAAAAAGTGGCAATGATTATTTTCAAACTCATAAGAACTGCATATATTTCGTGAATACCTGACTTTTCTTTCTTTTTTTAAACATATCATAATACCTTATAGCTATTAAGATTTCTATGTATATTAATTACGTTTTTACACTTGAAACAGAGAACAACATTACAAACCAGGCAGTGTCCACCGTCGGGTGTTCGGGTCCAGTAGTGTAGGGTCTATCAAATCGGTACTATTGGTTTGGAACCACTCGACCACAATGAACATACTAACCTGGAGATTCGAAGCTCCGGTCATCTACGTCGAATCTCTGACTATCGAGACTTTCAACGGCGGCCAAAAGTATGTTAATTAATAATTATACTGCAATATACATTATACTCATTATTATATTATTATTATTATTATTATTATTATTATTATTATTATTATTATAACTGAGTAAACCCACATTAGGATTAAAAAAAAATTAGGTTCACTTTTGATATTTGAATAAACATATAATGACGCATATAAGTTTTTCAAAATAATTAACTTAACATTGCATTTCATTTTCATGCATACGCAATGTATTATGTAATATAAATACCTACTATAACAAAACTATAACTATAACTGGATCATTTATAAAATAATTGTTTGTTTTTACATTTTTGAACAAAAAAATTATCATTAAAAATATTAGAATATATTATTTCAACACGTCATATACTATGAAAGAATCGCATTTCACTGACCTATATTTTATATAAATCAAACTAATAACTACCTATATAATATCTGCACTTGATTATAAATTATAACATTTTGCGTTATTATATAGGTATACACTATACAGTGTGTCACTCGTAATTTTTGCTGTTAATAACTTTTTTTCAAGCTGATATAATAATATTATTTTAAAAACTAATGTATCTATTATAGAGCCACAATTATAATAATTTGTAGTATATTTTAGTTTATCTAAATCGTTGCCTTAGTGTTGCCTAAAAATCTTAAATGATAAAGTATTGAACTTATTTATGTAAATATTTTAAAAGTTGTAATATTAATTTCCATTACAATATTTCACGTAGATAAGTTTAAGTTTAGGCAGGGCTGCTACCATGAATGATGAGTCTAGTAAAGCTAGAAGGATGTATATTAATACATTTATAGGTACCTATACATTTATTCGGAGGGTGGGTATAGATATATACGATGAGGGCAAAATCTGTGAGACACTATCGTCTGGCTAAACAGCCTGTATATGAAACAATAATATGTAATAACATGCGGATGGATGGTTTATACAAAATATATCGTTTTATAGAGATAATAGTATCACGTACAGTGTATTATTAATATATTATTTTTATTTTCAGACTAAAACTATGTCCACCGAAATTAATAGCTTTAGAAGCCGGCCTATCGTTTAGAATGATTCCGTGTTAACACTATTAACAATACACATGAATAACGAAGATACGAATTTTGAAGTTTAATTTTCATAATCATATTTCATATTCATATTTGGTAAGGTTGAAGGCGATTTTATTTATGTGTATATTTTGAACTACAGTATATAATTAACGATACCTATTTACCTGTTTATTTTTATTCAAACGTGATTATATTTTTAATTTTATCGCTTGTAAAATGTGTACCAAAATGTTATGTTTATTTATTTATTTAAGTTTAAGGTATATTCTCATGTTTACGTATAGTGGTACAATATAAGTAATTCCTGATACCCTATTTACTATTTATATTATACTCGATACTTTTTTTTTAATTTTAGGAGTAGTTACCTACCTATGTTTTGTACAATATCATTATTAATCTATATTGTTATTTATATATTTATTTATTTATGTCTTTATTTGTTATAATTTTTTTTAAATAAATTATTGAATTGGAGTGATAATAAATGTCATGGTGCGAGTTAAATGGCGTTTAAAAAAATCGTCTATGGGTACCATGATGTATAGTTTACTTATTGTTGCACAGTTGCACTCATATAAAAAAATGTTAAAATAATATATGTTTACATTTTACACTTATTAACTAATGACCTGCAGTGGATATAAAATGGGATCAATAAACTTGTTATTGAATTATTCTGTATGCACCATTGTAGTATTCTAGGACTCTAGGTAGATTAGATGTATGGATACTAGTACAAGAGGGTGGTTAGCTTAAACACATAGTAGAAGGAAATCGTACGAATATGTTATGGCCAGTTCATGAATACGCTTTTGGTTAGGTTAAGAGACTATGTAATCTCATCTGATTTTTATGCCCAATCAATTGTTTGTATTAAATAAAATAAAAAGAGTTCTAAGACACCCACAGGTAAAAGCATTTTCAAAAGCGAAAATGTACACAATCATAAAAAATATGTACTTGTATGAATGCGTAATTGCTCAAGTTATACAATTTTTTAAAGGGCCAAAGTTTAAAATAGTGAATTTATTTTTCAATAAATGAAAAAACATGGATTACCTCTATAGGTACTACCCCGCGGGTTAAAGTGGCAACTTTTATGACCGTAGAGCAGCCCGTTGCAGTTCTACCATGCGACTCATTACTGGACGTATTTTTCATGTGGTCCTCCGAACTACGAGAATTTGGTCTAATTATTGTAGCCTTCATAATACCATTGATTATAAATACTAGTACTAGGCACTATAGCGTTTATAATCAATAATAATAATGAGTATTACTGGCATACTATAATCATTACTTGGATCATAAAATCATTGTATAAATGTTAAATACACCTTAGATGAAATTTAAGAAAAAAAAATCTCCGAAATACAATTAATATAATACAATTATTATATTCCCTAAATACCTACCTATTCCAAATGTCTATGGATTAGGTATGAGAATTATTGATATTATTAACATTTTGTCAATCATTATTAATTTTGTAACACTTTTTAACACAATGTATAATCAACTGTTGTACTTTAAATTTGTTTAATATACTTAACTATTCATTTTTTTTTACTTTTATATCATATTATTGAATAACAGTATGTGAATTAATTAATCATATAAAATATTTATGTAATTGTACATAATATTAAAATGTATAGTACGATATAGTAATATTGTTAAAGATTTTAAAAAACATCACAATATGAAACAGAAATAAAATTACATTATAGTAGTAGGAAAATAGTCAAAAATATATTAAAAAAATAAAATATATACAGTAGGTACTTACCTAAGTTAGGTTGATTGGTATAATTGCAACTAATTTATCATACTACTAATATTTAGGTATTTTATTAATTCATTATAACGGAAAAAATTACATCTCGTACCTATAATATAATGTGATAGTAAAAAAATAACTTACATAGAATAATAAACTAATTAGCAATAATTTTTACGGGGTTTTATTTTCCTGTTTTTATTTTTTACAGTATTTTTATTTCGGGGCCTTTTTTCCGATTACTACTCAGATCAATTACTGTATAATATGATCTAAGTCAGCGGTTCTCAAACTGAGGTACGCGAAAGACTACATGTTGGTACACGGAAGGTCTTAAGTAATACTGAACCAGATATTTCATCGCTAATATCAAATCTACAAATCCATGGTTCTCACTGAAAATTTGTTATTTAATTTCATACCTTAAATTTTTAAACACTAATAAATTTGTATTAATAAATCAATAATAACTATATCGTAGTATTTTACTACATTTTTATTTAAAATAAATGTATTTAACTATGTAAAGTTTATATCTTTCTATTTTTAACCATCAGTGGACAGTGGTACGCGACTGATTAATAATATACTGAAGTGGTACGCGAAAGAAAAAGTTTGAGAACCGCTGATCTAAGTAATAGACGGGCGACGGACTTTACAGCAACTGTATATTATCCACTGAGATCAGTGGTCGAAGTGGGGGGGATACGGAGAGATGACATCCCTCTACATTTTTGTATTTACATTTTTCATCCCTCTACTTATTTTGTCTAGAATAACGCATTCCTCCTAATACTTGTGTTTTAAAATGAAATAATTACTATGATTTTTATATTTATACCTATGTATGAGAAAACTTTTTATTTTTCGTATAGGCCGTTTCGTAGGGTTTCGTACGGTAGCGCCTTTTATAATAATAATAATAAATACTAATATATTTTGTTATATTACATATTATATTGTTAGTATTAATTACAATTTACAAATTTAACTAAATAATCTAAAATGTCCACAGAAAAATATTATTAACAAAATGTAAACTATAAAAAAAAAATACTATACAAGTTAGGTATGAAGAATGTTATGATAATATCAGGAAATCTGAATTGTAAGGCATCCCCTCCACTTGAGCCATTTCGACCACTGACTGAGATTGACAACATACCTACACTACGGACTAAGATAGAGTCTATCTTAGTCCGTGCTATACTAGTAGTATTTATAGGTAATCAATGATAATTGATAGGTACTTTCATATTATTATCCATCTCAGTGATAATATCACAGTTATTCTGTTATATTCACAGATATATAAGCATACATATATGTTTATATATCTGTGAGTATAATAACCTAGAGAGCCTAGATAATATTATCTAGGCTCTCTACCTCGATGGTATATTTAGTACAAAACACGGATTAATATGCAAAATATATTTATAGATATAAATATATAAATATATAATATATTATATCCGTGGCACAAAATAATTATTATTCTGTTATAAGGTCCTTGTATACATAGATAATAAAGAATTCTTTATTATCTATGCTTGTATATTATGACTCATGTTATCAACAAACCCGCTCTTTTAAATATGATAACTCATAATCTACATTATTATTGTACATATTTTGTACAAATATTTTCATTATTTTGTTATTAGTTATTACTTATTAGTCTGAATCGACTGAATCTGAAGTGGTTTCATAGTGAAATACTGAAATGTCGGAAATTGTAGAGCACAGATATTTTGTATAACTATTTATTATAGTTAATACCAGACAAAATGCAAAGAAATGAATGTTTTGTTTGTGGTTGTAACGATTTTACTGTCACTGATGGTGCATTTGTATGTAATGAATGTGGAATACAGTCTCAAGTAAGCTTGTATAATTCGTTAGTTGTTTATCCAAAATAAAATGTAAATAGGATGGTATTCGGACAATTTCCCCCCGACTGTTTTTGGCGTAGTAGGACATTTTCCCCCCGAAAGATGTTTCGATGCGGACATTTTCCCCCCATTTTTTCATAAATATAATAAGACATAAAAAAATTGTTTATAAGTAAAATAGGTTAAACATTTCGTTTTTTTTTTAAATTATATTTTACTGAAGAAAAAATAATTTCTTATTAAATAATAAATAATAAACTTACAAAAAAAATTGGGGGGAAAATCTCCGCATCGAATATATATTGGGGGGAAAATGTCCTACTACGCCAAAAACAGTAGGTGGGAAAATGTCTGGAGGGAAACTGTCCGCCATTCAATAGGATATTGTATTGCAAAAAAGTAATAGTTCATCTAGAGTCATTAATTTTTCAAGTCAAAACCATTTTCTTTGTCAAAATTAATCAAAGTCATTGTTTTCTATTTTTAAAATTTGGTTTATTAAACCTTTAAGGTACTAATATTAGATATACTTGAAAGTGCGATCTATGTGCAATCTATAAGCAATCTATGCTGCTCATAAAAGTATGTTTAATCAAAAATATTGCTTACTAACATACTTTTCAATAAAATATCTTCTTACAAAGACAAATCATAATTTCTTTTTTAAACTGCAATATGTAATTTTGAATTTATCTTTTTTTATTCTAATATTTCAGAGTATTAGAGAAGAACAAATAAACTTTCATGAAGATGTTAATCAGAACTATGAAGATCCAACACATATAGATCATGAAATAACAACTGGATCTCAACTAGAAAAACCTAAGAAACTTTTATCCTGGGAATGTTATAATTTTATACTTTTAGGACTAACTAATGAGTTGATTGAACTTGGAGCTAAACCTAACTTAAAAATTATAGTGTTGCAATTATGGGTTCAATATTTGCAATGCATTGAAGTTGCGTTTACATCAAAGAAATTTAGGAAACTTCCAAAATTAAATACAACAATAATTGATATGTAAGAAAAAATCATTTTAATTTAAATTGCTGTTTCCAATTTATTTCATGAATATTTTTGTAACATAAACAGTTAACTAATATTCAGATAATAACCATTATAATATAAAATGGACCAATATGATTATAAGTGTATTATTAAACAATTGGTTACAAAAAAACAATCTATACTATAATGAATAAGACCAATAAATTATAAGTGGTAATTATCTGATTATCGTGTTAACAATATATAACAAATCCAAAAATCATTTTGTCAGGGACTGTGAAATTTTATATGGAGTTGAAAATGTAAAAAAAAAAATTCTACAAGCAAAAATTGGCTTAGTGCATGGAAATAAAAATAGGAGATGTTCCAATAAAAGAAAATCATTGACATCTAGTATTAGTTCAACTATGACAGGCATTAATAAACGAAATAGAGTAAATAATAAATTAATTATTAAAATATAATATTATGATCTAATTTGAATAATTAAATTACAGTTTAGCCGAAAGATAAAAAAATTAGACCACTCTACAAGAGATTCGAATAATGACTCAGTAGGATTATCAGATGATATAAGTTTATTGCAAAGAAGTAATAAGTCAAGTAAAATCAAGTAAGATATTTATTATTTAAAATATTTGTATACATCTGTTGAACAATTTTTTTATTTCAGAATTAAATTTAAAAAAAAAATAAAAAAATCTCTAACTTCAATGCCATCAAAGACTAAAGATCTTACTACTGAAGAATCGTTGAAACTTCTTCAATCTGGCAGCAAATATTGGGATAGTTTAAAAAAAAAAGAAAAACAGGATGTTTTATCTATAAAAAAACTAATGTCTATATTACAATTAGCTCTTATGGTCAATGATGATGATATTTACCTATCTGACATACTTAGGTAACCCAATTTAAATTATGAAAAGGAAAAACCATTAAATGTATAACAGGCTGTTGACTAAATATTTTAATTATGATTTTTATTTTTTTTAGATGGAGTCACGAAGGACATTTGCATATAAATCGTGTTAACTTATTTTTACCAGGAAATTCAAAGCACGGTATTAAATTTAATCAAATGGTGCCTTGTTCAAGAAGTATGTTAAATTTGGAATTACATGTGCTATTGAAACATGTTTTCAAAACTGATCAACTACCTAGTGTTGATTTAAAAAAATTACTGATTCGTTTTTCTGATGAACTACAACTTCCAAGTGATTATTTCTTCTGTACAAATAAATTTTTATTTATTATTTTTACTGTTATATTTATTTTTTAATTAGATGATCTTACACATTTTGTTTGCAAACTTGTGTCAATATCTCCTCCAAGTACAAAATTATGCAACCAATTTTTACCAGACATTGAAGTTAAAGTAATGGCTTACATACTTTTTGCTGCCAAATATTTATTTTGTCTTGATGGTAACTCAGAAAACTTATCCTCAGAATTTGCTGAAAAAATTAACCAGTATGTTATTTATTTATTTTTAAAACCATAACTCTTTGATTTAAACCATTAATTGTGGTTTTGCAAATTCAATGTTATTATTTTATAATATTAGGCTTTTTGAAATCCCAATTCGCAAAATAAAATGGGCTTTAAATTAATGAAAAAAAAGTAATGTCTTATAACTTGTTAGTTTAAGTAGGGTTTAGATTTGAAAGCAAATGCCTTTTATTTGGATAATAATAGAAAAATAATTTTTATATTAAAATGTATTTCATTTAATTTCTAAGATAATGGGTAAACATTTTTTTTCTTTTTTACCTATAAATGCCTTTTTGCTTTTTTTCTTTTGTAATTTGTATGTGCTTAATTATTAATTGACTTGATCTTTTCCTATACATATCAATGAAACTAATAGATAAAAGCTTCTAAAGATGACACATTGTCAATGTTATGTTAAAAATTAGTCTTAATAGGATTTACTATCGGAGATACCGATAAAGTTAAGGCAATTTAATTTATTGTTTTTTAAAAGTACCTATACTCTACCTATCTTTTTTTGCACAAACTAGTCAAATCTTAATTTTTGAAAAAATGTATAATTGCTTTTTTTGTAAATTAAATGCTTTTTTTGTTGATTATATTGCTTTCAAATCTAAACCCTAGTTATGAGTATTGGTTGTATAATAATAAATTATAAAATACTGTAATATCCAATGTTTAATTACCTAAGATTTTTACATGTACATATTTTATTATTTTTATATTTGTTATATATTTTATTATGTTATTTTAGATCAGATAAAGTTGAAAAAATATTGTTCAGCTGGAATGATTATGTGCAATACATAGAATTTAGAAATTGTATCATATCTAAATATAGCTATTATCTGAATGACAAATTGTATGGAAACCATATACACAACACCCAATTATTTATCAATGATTGGAATATTATGAAGCCAACTTTACCTTTATCAGAAAGTAAAAGTCGTAATTTGTGTTCAATGCGGGTCAGTGATTCTCAAATTGTGCTTCCTAAAGCTCTAGGATTCTGCCAGTGATCTAGAGGCTCCATGGACGCATCCAATTTAAATCAAATTCAATATTATTAGTCGCATATTGTTGTGTTCATCATGATTTATCTTTTTTTTACTTCTAAATAAATATTCCTTTCTTTGAGACTCCAAAAACTTTTTTTAGCAACTTAAAGATTCTGTGAATGAAATTGTTTGAGAACCGCTGACTTAAGTATTGTATCATTTAACATTTAACTTAATATTTTTTTACAATTTGTATTATTGAGTAGGCGACAAAATATGCAAAAGCTTTAGGGACAACACAGAATGTTTACTTAAATCATTGCCAGACTTTGGAAGAAAAGAAAGTTATAGAGAAATCCCTGCCTCAACTAAACCATTGTCATCAACTTTAAAATGGATAGTTGAGTACCATTCAATGGAATTAAGTAATGAAGCAAAAAGAGTAATAGAAAAAAATATAACTCAAACTGATATCTTATATCTAACTGATGAAAAAAGGTATTTAATATGTAATATAGTATCATATAAATTACAGAATATAGTAATATAGTATCATATTAGTTACAGAATTTACAAATTTAATGTGGAATAGATATAAAATTGTTAATTTCTTAATTGTTTAAAAACTTTTTAAAATGATGCTACTTCTGCATTTGTTGTCATCGTCTTACTAGTTAGTTAGTCAAAGCAAAATTGTACCCTCAGCAGTTCATGTTTTGTTTGCGTAAAAACATTATCTGTGATTATGTGTCGGTTTTTATGATAATGACAATTTTTAGAGTGTCTTGCATGTGTTAAATATTTTAAAATACTCATAACTCATTTAAAGACACAATTATCAAAAAATATTGACATACAAGTACAGATAAAGTTCTTAGCATTAGGTATCATAATAGGTTGATACATTCGAACATTAAGACTAACAAAGCTAAATGTGAACTGCCAAACATAAATTGTATATGTAATATGTTATGCCCTTGTAAGACTGTGTTCTTAAGAGTCTAAAATGCTTAAAATGTTTGTTTAAGTAACATTTTATAGTAAAATGTATGAATGCTAGGTTGCATATACAATCACAAAGCATTTAATGTAATGAATCAATAATGAGCTAATAGTTCCTTAAGCATTATTTAGTGGCCCAGATTGTTCCATTAAATTGAAATGAACCAATAAATAAATACATTTTTTATGCAACTCATCATATTATAGCAATTTTAATTCTGTAATTAAAAAACCATTGATCATTTTAAGTCAACTGAGTCTTGAAATGATTAATTGATTAATGTATAATATAGTCCTGTGGTGCCTACCTAACACTCAATGGATGGGCTCATTCTCAATAAATTCCTTTAACTTTGAGTTATTTATTATATTCTTTGACTAATAAAATCATTATTTTATAACCTGATGTGTGGAATTTAATTAATTTTAATCTACATTTCACAATATTTACAAGCATAATAATAATTTTAAGAATTTATTCATTTTTTTTTTTTATTATAGAATCTATGATTTAGCTGACGAGTGTGGTGTACCTATAGAAGTAAACTGCAGAAGTCCGTTACATTATACGAAACAAAAAGGTATAGATTCCGATACCTTAGATACTCCATCATATACTTCTCAATCTAAAGTGTATTTAGTAAATCAAGAAGTGTATAAAAACAAACAGAATAAAACTACAAATAGTTCTTATGTAGAAGAACCAAATACAATATTTTTAGGAACTGGCTCAAATTATTGGCACATCTACATTAATAAAAAATTTTTAAAAAGAGCAGAAATTTCCAAAATAAATACATTATTTGAAAAAAAATTACCATACTCATTTGTATGGCTCATGCGTCAGTGTTGTAGAGTTATAGATTGTCGTATGCCTGATTTATACTTGGAACTTATGGATTTGGAGATACAATTCTCTGAATTTATTCAACCATGCGAAACATCTAAGCAAACAGAATGTGAAGAAATGTTTTCCAACATTACTTTATAAATCAGATGATGAACTAAGAAAAAATTATAAAACAATAATTGTCATTAATTTTTATTTATAACTTCATGTCTTATGATTTTTAAATTATTGGCATGGTAATGTATAATTTGTTTTAATACTTGACTGATATTTTTATAAAAGCACTGTTTTAATTTATAATAAAAAATAATCCATTATTATTTATTTCTGTTACTTTTCCAGTTTGTATAGGTGTTAGTTCTATAACTCTGTTCTCCAGAAGTCGGCCCACTCCTTCGACGAAAACCGGTGGCGACTGGCGGCCGCGCATGTGACTGCCTCCTCGGAGCGCTAGTGGGGACTGTCACGACTGCGCAGTGTGCAATATGTTGTTTGCGTCGCGCCACAACGCCGATCGCCGACCAATCACAGACCAGTGGTCTCCGACCAAAGGGTTCTAATTCTGAACGTTTCGTCAGCTCAGTGTACATGCGTGGAAGTGGGTCAACTTTGAACTTACTGTGGACAGAGTTTTAGCAACTATATAATAACTATGTGTTTTTGATATAATATATCGACTGATTCTTTTATTACTGAACACTTATCACTTGAAAAAGTATACATTTTTTTGAGTAGTAGAGTAGTTTCTGTCTTACAAACGTAGGTGCAATACCTACTTCATGGCAATTTTTACGACCAACCATATCAAATTGTATTCTGTAATTTCTAATATTAGAGGGAATTTACCTTTTATAAAATTTAAAGACAAGAATATCTCGGGGGATTTTATTGATGTTAATTTTTTTAGGTGCCTAAATCATAACTATTTTACAATGTACCTACAGTTTAAAATTAATTGTATGTAGGCAGTTTATACTCTTAAAGTCTACCGAATTGTCTATTTGATATTTTGATGTCAACGACCTCTCTCCAGTTTATCTAGACGTGTGCTATTACTGCTAATGGACAATAGTTGTCAGTTGAAATGGTGGTGACCAAATATTATTGGTCCGTATTGGTAAGCCTATTTAAAAATTGTCTATTTAGTGCAGTATGTGGGGAGTCCGCAATTTATTTAATTCCACATTATATGAAATATTAGTATTTATGAATGGTAAAACAGTTAATCAATTCGCAGGCCTTGCCATGGTCTTAGATCTTATGAGACCTTAAGCTTGCAACTGCTATGTGCTAATCATAGATTTAGTTTAAATCTATTGACCAGGTATTCTGTGTTAATTATTATTGTTATTATTTACACTGGTCTTTCAGTTATAAATATTAAGCAACGGTCAATTATTTAGTTATGTATAGGATTTAAATTTGAAGTAATAGATCTATATTAATACATAATATAATAATTCAAGATTTCTAATGCTTATGTTTATCTGCAATTGTGTTTTAAGCTTGAATTTATTATCTAAAACTACAGAAAAATACAATCTGCATCTATTCTGTATTCCTTATTTCCGTGTTTGTAAATGTAACGCCATAGATATAAAGAATAAATTATTCCATATATCTGTGTATAACGCTTATCTTTTATACACGATGGTTATCTTTCCATGATAATATTATTTCACTACACTACCAGTTATCTTACCAAAATTTGTTCAATATCATAAAATGTTATTGAAATAATAATTATTAAATTTGGTTTGTGTTGTGTACTACTATTTTTTAATATTTTCTATTTACGTTATACAATCATAATATACTTTTAAGTTATAATTTATAGCTTTTAAGAAATGTTTGGAATTAATAGTTGTACGTAGAATGTCCATCAACTTTGCGTACGTATTTTTTTTATTGTCGTGTTGAGAAATATATTATTTTGTTCTAGGAATTAATTTTTGTTAACTGAATATTGTATTCAATTTGTTTTCCCTAAGTTACTATGCTTACATAATGCCATTAAATTGGTTTTTGACTCGAGTTCTTATGTTATTGCAACGTGCTGGACACCTGCAAAAATATAGGAATTTATGTTAACTGTGTAATAACTAATTGAAATAATTCACTAGGTAGTAATATTATCTTATTTTGTATTTGTGTCTTACATTAATATATTTGCTCAATGATTATAGTGTTGATTGAACAGCCATAAAATATTGTTTGAAAGCCTGTAATTCTACGATGGATCAGAAAAACGATACATTAGACGACGAAGATGTTGTGTTTATGCTGCTTGAAACATTAAAGTCTAATGGCACATTTGATGAAATTCGTAGGCATTGTGTTACAGATATTGATGCTAAGGTATAACACATACACAATTTAAATAATGTATAATGTTTGCTTTTAAACTTTTTAGTTATTACCTTACTAGTTACTATACTACTATTATAAATAAGTAATATCACCAATCAATTTTGTAGAAACTGTTTTTCTAATTATTTTTAATCTGACATTTTAAATCAATAATGAAATAATTAACTTGAAATATATTGATATAATTGTAGTTAGAATCATAAAAAACAATTTTAGCAGCATATCATATTTATATAAAATTAAATATTTTATTTACCTTTGTCTATGAAAGATGTAGGTATGTTTTACTAAATGTACAGCTGTTCTAATTTAGTATACATTTAATGCATGTTAATATGGTTTATTAACCAAGTTTTATTTTATACAATGATTTTATGGCATTGATAATTGCCTATTCTTTGTTTGTTCGTACAGCCTACTTACCAAAATTGGAAACAGCGCATAGAATCAAATGTCAACAAATTTTTAAGTAAAGTGAAATTTACACCTGAATTAAATAAAAATTCTGTTCGAGAACGTCTGAGAAAACATTTACTTGATGGGTATGTACCTATTTATTATTTTAAATTGATATTTTTCATTTGCCAGTTGTCATTAAAATTAATTCTGGTTAAATTTAATGTTCAAACTTTTTTTTTTTAAATCGATTAGTGTTCTAAAAATGTTGAAGATGAAGCAAGTTATTCATTTTTTACCTTGTAAATTCTAATAATCAAAGCTATGATGAATACAATCATTCAAATACTCAAATTATTTTTCCAATTTTTAAATGTTAACTTTTAATAAGTAGTACTGATATTACTAAGTTGTTTTTTTTTTATTTATGATGTTATATTAATTTTTATATTGGCTTTTTCTTCATTAATTTATGTTTCTTTAAGAGAATTATTTTTTCTGTACTTAATAAATAAATATGTACTTTTAGACGTGAAAATCAGGATATAGAGGAAGGAGCTGATAGAATACTTACCCAAGTACTAGCTCCTCGTTCATTAAGTATTTTTGAACCTAAAATAGCAGTTGCTGTTGATGAATACTTGGGAATTAAAAATGAAGCACCTCCAATTGAACTAAACGGTATGCCCATAGTTATATTTTATAATTTTTAAATTAAGAGGTCTCTGTCTTACTAACTAATATAACATAGCAAATTTTACGCTCAGCAGATCCCATTTAGCTCTGTTAGTTTAAAAATTAAAGTGAATTTATTAATTTTGAAGCAAGTTATGATTATTTAAAAACAGAAAATTGTTTGTACATTAAAATTAAAATATAAAATAACCCTATGAGGTTCAATAGATAATATTCTTACCTATACATATTATAAGAAATAAATTTACTCTAATTTTTAAGCTGCATAAAATTTGGTAGACTTTTGTAAGACAGATACATTGCATGCGGGTGTATCGTCTACTTAAATATAATTTATAGCTGATTATATAGACATATGAGACAAAGGAAACATTTTCCTTGCTTAGAAAAACTAACCCAGTAGCATGTACAATGTTTTCCTGATATGGTTATAGATTTAGTCATAATGAAATATAAAGACATTATCACAAATGGTGCAGTACCTACCCACAATATAAGGTACTCGTCCAATATGCTATCTACCGTAATTTAGTAAGTTAGGTAGGTTAGTAGGTTTACCTTTATTTTATATTATACCTGTTTATGAGTCGTGTTGTATTACATATTATGTATTATGAGTTTGTCAACTATGCGTCATTTATATCAACACATAATTCAAAATGAAGAGATGTGAGAACATTTTTTAAACATACTCGGTTATTACCAATCTACCAAACATGTACAATTATTAAAAACCCAACAATTTGTGGTGTTGAAAAAAGTTCTAAAATATAGTCAAAAACGTGATTCGGAAGGTAATATTTTGAAAACAATTTATTATCAATGTACATAAAAAGGGTGCCAAACATTTTGCTCCATGCACAAAAACAATAACTTTTTTACGTACATGGATAAAAATGGGAAGTGTAACAATTAATAGTGAAAAAATATATATATAAATAATAATAAATTAAATATAATATAATATATGTATTATTATATAAATAAAATGGTTTAAATTTATGCGATATCGTAGAACTTGTTTGGTATTGGGTATTTCAAATAAAGGTAACATAAGCCGAGGTGTTTACGAAAAGATGAAAATCAACTAAGTCGAGGGTAGATAAAATATTTACGGTAGATATCATACACTAAACCATCAAACGTGTAGTAGATACTAGATAGCATATTGGACGAGTACCCAATCAATGTATACACATCACATCCATATCCAGCCATTGGCTACTTCTGTAACTCTCCACTTTTGATTGGTCGAATTATTTCTCTATATAATTAAAAAAATAATGTCAATTAATAAAAATTGCAGAACTGTGATACACCTAGGTCAAACTGTGGTACATATTTATTGTACAGTGGACAATATTTTTTTCATGTTTTTTAAATGTTCATATAAAAAAATAGTTTCTATTATATAATATATATTCATATATTATAATTGTAGTGGCAACTTGATGTTAACGCTTTATAAAGCATAGCATACTTCTTAATGTTGTTTCCGTTACTACTTACAAATTACTGAATGTATTAAAATAAAAAACTTGATTCCTTATTAACGTTTAACTTTTCCTGTAGCTTATGATTATGTTAAAAGTATTAAGTGAATATCACACCTATAATTTACAATGTATAGTATTATAGTGTATTTATAATCTCTGTCTTACAAATGTACTACTTAGCGAATTTGAATTCAGTGGGACTAATTTTGTGTCATTAGCTTTAATATAGTGAATTGATCTGTTATACAACTTAAAAGTAAAAACATTGTGTGTGTTTATACTTTGAGTCCATAAAATATTTCTATTTTTAAATTGTTATGTTTAGATACTCATAATTTGATTAAAAATTAAAATACTATACAAATCTACAAATTTAGTCTATAGACAATATCTTTACTTTTAAGTTTATAATAGATCAATTTGCTATAATATGGAAGCTAACAACCCAAAATTAGTCCTGCTGAAAGCTTTACTATAAGACAGAGACAGAATATGTGAGTAAGACGACTCCTCTTTAGAGTTATTATTAATCATAATAAATGTAATATCATAATCCTTTTATTTTTATTCCTTAACATTAAGATTTAAAAGGTCTAATTTAAATATCTTAATTTAAATATTTACATAAAAAATCATAAAAAAATGTTTCTTAACAATGTTTTTAAACATTTATTATGTATTATTAAATAAAACACTATCTTTATAACATTGTAGTTAGTATCAATATATTATTAATTTAAAAAAAAAATACAATTATATTAATCTAATGTATTATTTCTAGGATTAAAAGAATCTACAATAAATTTGATAAAATCATCTAATATTGAAATTAGTACTGTTTTCAATCCTAAAATAGGCAAGTTAATTAATAATTATACATTTTCTTTTAGTTCTACTGTCATCAAATTCTTTTTTTATTTATGTAATTTTAATAAAATTTACAACTTCGTTTAGATTTTATCTCAGATGCTGATAACATAACCTATGATACAACACTAAAAGATGAAATAAAAGACTTAAGATCAGACAAAACAGAAAAACCTTCTAGTCTTTGTAAAGAGCCCAAATCATTGAACGGCAATCAAAGTGAAGATGAAAATGATACAGGAGGATCTTTAAAACAAAAAAGTAGCCAACACAAAAATAAAACTTCTACATCTGACAAGTCTAAGTCTTCCTCTAGTAATCATAAAAGTAGTAAAAAAGATAATAGTTGTAAAGAAGTTGTTGAAAAATCTAAAGATGTCATTAATAAGCCTAAAGATATTTTTAATAAGTCTAAAGATGTTAGTAAACCTAAAGATATCGTTGAAAAATCTAAGGATATTGTTAATAAGCTTAAAGATGTTAGTAAGCCTAAAGATATTGTGGATAAGTCTAAAGATATTGTTAATAAACCTAAAGACATTGTTGAAAAATCAAAAGATAATGTTAATAAGCCTAAAGACATTGTTGATAAGTCTAAGGAAAAATCATTTTCGTCGAAGAATTCTAATTCTAAAAGTTCGAGTCATAAAAGTAACCGAACAGATTCGAAAAGAACTAAACGTTCCCTTGAAGAGAAAAAAAAATCATCTAGTCTTTGTAAAGAGCCTAAATTATTGAATGGTAATCGAAGTGATGATGAAAGTAATTCAGGAGGATCTTCAAAACATAAAAGTACTATACACAAAAATAAAAGTTCTTCAACTAACAAGACCAAGTCGTCCTCAAGTAATCATAAAAGTAGTAGAAGAGATAATAATAGTACAGACGTTGTTGATAAGTCTAAAGATAAATCTTTGTCAAAGAATTCTAGTAGTGCTGATATTGCACATAAATCTAAGGACAAATCTTCGTCGAAAATTTCTAATAGAACTGTTGATAAGTCTAAAGATAAATATTCATCAATGAGTTTGAGTAGTACAGACGCTGATAAGTCTAAAGACAAATATTTATCAAAGAAATCTACTAGTTCTGACATTGATAAGTCTAAAAAAAGATCTTTGTCGAAAAATTCTAGTAGTACTGATGTAACTGATAAGTCTAAAAACAAATCTTTGTCAAAGAATTCCAGTAGTACAGGTATAACTGATAAGTCTAAAATCAAATCATCTTCAACAAAAAATTCTAGGTGTACAGATGTTGTTGAAAAGTCTAAAGACAAATCTTTCTCAAAGAATTCTAGTAGCTCAAGTCATAAAAGTAACCTTATTGACACTAAAAGGCTTAAACTTTCTCAAGAGGAAAAAAATAAATCGCCTACAAATAAAGTAAATGATGAAGAAAGGAAACTAGATGATGAACCAGAAGAACCAGAAAAATCCGAATGGAATGATTTTCGAAGTTCTATTATGACAAATGACGAACAAGATGCAGCAAATGTATTGTTATCAATGAGTGCGATTTCTTATGAAAGTTCTCATAGCGAAATTATAACAGAAAATATAATTTTTATAGGAAATTCTTCTCCTATTGCTGAAACTTTACAAACAACTGAAACAGTAAATGAATTAGAAATTAAAGAAAATTCTGATGAAACAAAAAATTTACCCCCTGGTGATAATGATGATATCAAAGAAAACTCTCAATTAAAATCAAATAATTTAGAAACAACACAATCACAAAATGCTGTAAAAAGTTCATCAAATATCAGTCATTTGTTTGAGAAAGTATGTTCTGTTGATATTGAAAGATTACCATGTAATGATATAAAATTGCAATGTAGCTCTGTTAATAATGTTGAAACAACTGAAGAACACCAAAAACCAGCTGAAATAGAGGATAAAAATGAATTAAAAATATTAAATATTGGAATAAATTTGGAAACAAGTGAAAATGAAAACACCAGTGAATATAATTCTAACGATGTTTTAAAAGTACCAAAACTAACTTTAAAACTATTACCAAATCAAATTGATTCCTTAAATAAAACTAAAAGAAAAAAACATCATAAACATAAAGAATCGAAAAAATTGAAACTTTCGAAATCGTCTGATATTCATGATGAAGTATCAACAAATATGTGTGATAAAATAGACCAAAAATCTGACAGTGAAATTGACCAAAAATCTGACAATGAAATTGATCAAAAATCTAACAATGACGTAGACATAATAATAAATGATTCTCCAAGTACCTCGTCCAATCAAATATTCCATGATGAAATAGAAAATAACAGTACAAATATATTGGATGTTGAAGAATCACTTAACACCTTCAAAGGATTTTCTGAAGCGGATGCTATTCCGTGTAAAAACTATAGGCTGTTAAAAAGTGTGATCAAAACCTTACAAGCACAGATTAATCGTAATACAATTGATGATGGTTTCAAAGGCTTTACCAGTGCAGAAACAAAACCATGTAAATATCGAGATAATGTTCATGCAGAGCTTATTAAGTTGAAAGAAAGTGAATCCAGTACAGGCTTTATAGGATTCACCGAAGAAGATACTCGCATGACTATTGGACATAAATATGTTGTAAGACATCTTTCATTTGCCAAAGCAAACGCAAAAACATATGATGATGAACTTATGGATGCATATTTATATAAAAGTGACAATGATAATGATGCAGAGTCAAAAAAGAATTACAGCGAACCAATTGATGATACAAAAAAAGATAGTCCTACTGTGAATAATAATAATCACGATCATGATAATTGGGTTGCTGAACAAGAAATGAAATATAAACTTTTACCTGTAAAAGTTAAGCTTGAAAGACTAATGGAGTTCGGGTGTAATAGTAAGTAATATATCTACCATTAAATATAATTTTTCCTAGTCTTAATTTCCTATTTTCATTTGTACTATATTTTTTTTCAGATGTTAAGCGTGTGTCTGACTCTCCACAGGTGCCCATATAATTAACAGTAGAATATAGCATTTATAACGAGAATCGTGTCTTCAATTATTTCTTCAAAAATATTTTTAAAAAAGGTATGAAATATCTTGACGATAAAATATTTTTACATTTATTTAGTCAATATATAATTTTGTTTTATACTTATCAATAGAAATCAATAGTCATTAACTAAATTTACATTCTCATAATGTTTAGAATTATTAATTTCACTAAACATAAAAACTTAAATTAATATTTAAAGGCGGCTAACAATTATATTACTATAATATTAATTATGTGATCATAAATCAAATCATAAACATTTTAAATTGTCTATATAAATATTTCCAATAATCAGGAGTAATTAAGTATAGGATTTAGTATTTTTCTTCTGAATGCAAAATTGTGGATTATTTGACCTTGGAATAATCTATGGATTACGCAGGACCCCATTTTAACATTCACAGGATTGCCTAGATCATCCCCACTATTTAAAATTGTATATGATTCCTAGATCAATTTGTATATACCGTGTGTCCACAGACACAGTGTACACTTTATCACTCATAACCCTGTGAATCATTTTCAATTCTGTTAGCAAAACATTCAACTAGACTAATGGATCATACATTTCTATGACTTACAATTTTTTTAACTCATTTATTTTGCTCATTATGCAATAGAACTTCATATTCTTTTCACTGTAACCCCTATTTTGAATAACCGTTTTTTTTTCAAGTAATTTTGTTTTATCAATATATTGTATTGTAATCCAAATATTGGCAACATTTTTTGTATTTAGGTATAACTAAAATAAATAAATTTACAAAATTTGATTTTATTTAACTTTACGTTTTTATTTCTTCTAAAATAGTGGTTCTGCACCTTTGTGTAGTGGCGACCTAAGATATTTACCCAATTTTTCATGCAATCTTTTTATAAATAATATTTAATGGAGGAATAAAAAATAACCATTGTGTACTCTTAGTAAGTAATTCAATTTTTACTCATATTACCTATGCTAACAACAGGTCATAATATTAATTAAATTCTATTTAAAAATAAACATTTCTTTTAATAATTTTATATCAACATTTTAAATTCTTGCCGACCCATTTAATTTAACATTATTGGTGACTCAAAATTGGGTCTCGGCCCTATGGTTGAGAACTACTTTTCTAAAACCATGATCACTCAATGATTAATAATACAATTATTTACTTAAATATAAACTTGTTAAAAGTAATTAATTTATTACTTTAATCATAACAAGTTTGATTGTATGGTGTTTAAAAGGAAAGAATACGTACAATTAAAAATAAATAAATAAATTAGTAAATTTATTTATTTGAATTATACTTTGCTCTAATTTTGCCAATTTTGGGTTTGGAATATAAGTTGATTGATCAAAATTACTTGAGAAAAAACATGATCAATCCAAAAATGATACTCCCAATAAGATTTACCAATAAAAAAATGAAGTTGTGTTGTGCATGTGTAAAATACACAAGTTTAAAAATTTATTAGGCATAAAAAATGTTGATTCATTAGTCTCGTTGAATGTCCCTCAAATAGAATTGAAAATTATTTACGGGATGATGAGTGATAAAATGTACCCTGTTTTCGCAGACACACGGTATATATTAGAACTCCTAGTTGAAATAACTAATAATTCAAAAAGGTGTTAAATATCATATTACATATTGGTTCTGTGCCTATATATCATACTTTACCAATTGTAGTTATACCATAAGGTCAATGATTTTACGGAATTCGGTTAATTGATAAATCTTGTGAAACGAAAAAATGAAACTATTAAGACTCATTAATACTCTTTATATTTTTACGATACAACAGTTGTTAAAAAGCCCTTTATGTAGAACTAAAGCAAACACATGACGTATGGAGAGAGCTATAAGCTGTAGAAGTGCATGGTCTCTATCGATTATTGATCAAGTTTAAAATTATTGTGTCAATGTGCATTGTTTTCTTTTTTTTTTTGCCTAGGATCAGAAAGAAGTATATTTGCTTAACAGATATGATCAACAAACGGAACTCTGAACTTATTTAAGATACAAATGTGTTCTTTACCTACAAAAGTAATTGAGTTATGATTAAAAACATAACAACTATAAATCTGATTTTTGCCAAATTAAATAGTAAATTTAATAATTAAATAAAAACAAGATTAAAAATATCCATGCCTTCTCATTCTTTTGTTAACTTATTTACTGCTATTTATTTTCTTAAATTTATTGCACAATTTAATGATCATTGTATGTATAACATTACATAGTAATATATATGTTTAAATGTTGTTAATAAATATAGTGACTTAAATTTTTTTTCATTTGTTGCATTGTTAAAAAAATGTATGTTTATTTATTATAATGTTCAATATTATACTATCTGATTACATCTAATTAAATTAAATTTGAATTAAAGAAATAACAATAATCATTCATCTAATGAGAATTAAAAGTGTTTACTGTTCTCTTTATTCTTTCTTTTTTTTTCTTTTTTATACGTTAATTACATTGTTTGGACGAATAAGTGTGTGAACAATTTTATTTTTCTTAAAATATTTTTAAAAAAAATCCTTCATTGTAAATAACATTAATTATTAGTTAACAATGAACTATTAAATGTAAAAATGCAATAAAGTGACTTCTGCTTAATAAAGTAAATACCAAGTACTTTAAAATAAATATGTACACTGCCTGAATTCAATAATATAGTATTGTTTTGTAATTCAAATGGATTCTCTACGATTATTTTGTAAATTAAATTATTGTTTTGATCATATTGATGTTATAATTTATTATATTAAGTTAAGCTCATTTTCACTAATTTTTTTAAAATATTTATGTACTTACATAGCATGTAATGTAAATTATGTAAATACTTTTGAAATGTCAATTTGTTCGTTTATTTTAGAATAAAATAATGGTTTATATTTGTACATACTATTAAATATGTATTTCCTACCACTAAATGTATACATTTTGTTAAATATGTATTGTTAAAATATAGTGTACATTTTTTTTAAACTTAAGATTTTGTTATTTAAGTTAATTTACAATAATCATATTATTGTTAAACAATATTGTTAAAGAATTAATTTTTTTTCAGCCTAAATTATAAAGTAACAATATCATTTGGCTGTGATGTTTATTATATTTACTGTAGATTTTTTAAGATTTTAGATAATTTATGACCAGATCTCGCAATTAAAACTCCGAGCAAATTTTATGAGGTTAGGGGTTGAATAAAAAATATAATTATATAATTTTTTATTTCAAGTTTTTATTTATTAAAACAAGTCTTCAACTTTATAACTTAATTTTTCCCTATTAAAACCATAAACACTTTAAAAATGTTAAATGATTTAAGGGTGTGACACTTTTGATCAACAACGAGATTTAGAATAAAAATGGTTGAGAAACACTGGGCTTTAGGTAAGTTCATCAATATTTTCAATAAAATCATCAAACAAATATTGTGTCAATCGAAGAAATGAAGTATGTATTATTACAGGATACTCCTTAGGTATGCGAGGAATTAGAAAGAATACGAAGGAGATTCATAAGCCGTATCTACTTAATCATACATTTTATTTTATTTATTTTAATCATAACCTATAAAAACAAAAACTACGAGAAAAAACACTTCAAAGTTAAAGACTCACTGTTATTTATCAAATACTAAAAAAAAAAAAAAAAAGTACTAAGTATTTTATATGCACTATTAAGTTGTATGCACTTACAAATTAAACTTCAATACTAACAAAACATACATTTTATTTTATTACTTTTATTAAATTACTAAAATACTAACTGAAATATTATGTAACCACATGTTGAAACATCACAACAAAAATCTATTGGCATAAATTACATAGCTCATTCAAATTACAGGCCGGGGCGGACCAAGGTTCTATGAAAAATTAGAAATTCTAGCAGGATCAAAATTATAAACAAAAAAAACCTGTAATATTATCGATTATAAATTATAGACACGTACAAGTGAGGTATTACCAAATTTACTAGGCTTGCTCGCCAAAAACTATTCTGGGCCGGAAGGAGCCGGGCTCACAGAACAAAAAACTATTACCGAACCGGACCAGAGTGTAAATTACCAGCCAGTACACACCTCTAGAACACCCACAAATCATATTAAATTACATTATAATCATTAGGTATTTTATTGTTTTATTAGGTTGATACTCATTACATTTTAAAAACTATTATTCTTTAAAAATATATCAACAGTTGTAGGTATAGTAATTATTAGCAGTATAATTCAAAGTATTTTGCGTAATATACTAATATCACAATTTTTGTGTACCTAAAATTACTGGATTTTTGAATTACTATACGTCTGGCCGTAGGTATTGGCTAACTTGCCTGACAATACATATTTATTTTAGGACTCTAAAAATTAGAAAACTTACGTAAATATTATTTATTCTCCAGGCAAAACTCGTGCACTACAGGTGTATTATGTTGTCTATTAATTGTCTAGTGTCAGAGCGGTACATCTCCGCCAAGGGAAATGCAGCTCGCGCTTTTATATCCGATCCAGAAGTTCAATCCGGAAGTATTGAGAATGTCATATTTATGAAAATAGCTTAATAACCAGAATGGAGCGAAATATGCGAGTACATACGGCAATCGTTGTTTGTTTCAGAAATTGTTACCTGAAATGTACACAATTAGGTACTCTGTATGTTTATTTTATCAAACCATACATGTACTTGTTAAAATTTACAATATATTTTGACTCATTTGAGCTGTTACGGGTAGTTTAAATTTTAAATTTTTTTAGTTTTTTTTTTCTATATAAATATCAATAAATTGCAGTAGCGACTAGAGCGGCTCGAGAGTAAGTATTCTAGGGAGACTTAAATTATGTAACATACATTCCATACAACGAACGCGAAAAATCTTTTAATTGAAAAAAATTTAACTTATTTTAATATTAAATTTGTTTCAAAACTAATTCTATTCTGCGATCTTTTTTATCTGCAAACTCTTCAATAACACTGTCCACAAAGGTTGGATCCCTTGCCATATCATCCAGTAGATTTTTTTCAATCGTTAAGGATGATAAACTTGAAAGCCGCTCATTGGTTTTGATATGTTTTATTGTATTCATAGACCGTCCACTACTCACTAAAAGCCGTCGTAGATGGAATAGTTAATACTAACTGACAAAGTTTAGTCACCTGAGGATAAATATCTTTATGCAAATCACCTGTGAATTTCATAGGAAAAATTTAACTTAATATGAAAAAAAAACAATATTTAGTTTGGATGAATTAGTATCACCTACCTTGTGGTTATAAAATCTAAGAGTGAACGAGGAGCCAAATGTTTCCTATCATCCGCATAAATTACAGCCAATTCATTGCGTAAACGATCTGTATCAAAAAGTATTAGAATACTGCTCTAATAACTTAATGAACTTTGACTCAGGAAACTTAGATGGGAGCTTTTAAACATTTTTTATTTACAATCTCTACAAACTCTACTTTTGGAAAATCTCCAAATCGTATGTTAATTTGGTCAATTAATGGATCTATAATTTCACATGCAATTTTATGTAATTCATTTCGTTTTTTGTCTTCCTACTCTAAATTGCTGTTATTAATATTGTTATTTCTAACATAGTTAGATTGCAGAGTTTGACTGATTTTATTGTCTCCACCCCGTGTAACAATAGCGAGTTCAATTGATGTGAATAACAATGAATAAATAATATATTTGGATAAATTTGCCTTATACGAAATTGTACATTTGTACACCACTTTTTTCTTCCGACATAACCATAGGTCTGACATATAATTTTATTTCCAATTTCCCACTTATTAATTTCAGATAAAATTATATCTGCTAATCCAGAGGCTGTTTTATTCTTTGAAAAGTCAAAAAAGCCAACAAATGGTTCTACAATATTTGGTTCCACAACATACCGAAAAATTATGGTCATTTGAGATCGCCACGATACATCATGTCGTCTCATCTGCTTGAAATTTGAATAGATACGTAATCAGCTTTTTATATTTCATTAAAAATTCTAGAATTTAAACCGGGAGTTACGCATTCAATCAAATCATTTTGTTTCACCTTAGATATACTTTTAAATATTGCGGATGAGTGGATGACAATTGACAATAAGTGCTCTTTAAGCAACTGTTCTTCTTGAGCCTGTAGTTCGAGTAATAATTCAAGATAGTTTCCATTATTTAAAGATTCATTATTTTCCCGATGGCCACAAAAAGCAAGTTTTTGTTTGCCCAAAAAACAAACAACATGTATATCATACGCGCTATTAAACGTCTACTTATACCGACCTGTTTGTTATATTTTACAGCAACAGTCGTCGACCTTCTGAAATCGCGTTTTCAATTCGGACTTCACCCAACAGATGCAATTTTTCTTGATTAATTAAGTGTTTTTGGGAAATAGCATGTTTTCTGATTTCCTTAAAAAATTGTTTACTGCAACTGCAGACGACAAACCATTTACACTCCATTCCTTTTCCCTTCCGAATATTACGTTAGCAGAACAAAACATTTTATTTCGTTTATCACAACCAGTGACTAGTGAGCCATAGCAATTTATTATACAAACTGTTTTGAAATTTCCTAATATATTTACCGTCTTGACATGTTAATAATAAATGCGGAGTCGGGCGATTAAGTTAAATTTGATTTTTTGTTCGTATGTTAAACCATTAAAACCGCTGGCTAGTGAAAATTCCATAATATGTTCTTTTTGCATTATTAAAATAAGAAATAATGCTTATAAAAATGTCAAAAATAATAAATACTAGATAGATAAACGAAAGACTAGAAGTCTAGAACCTAACTAAATTATAGTTCAACTTAAATTAGTTGAACTAATAAACGACAGCACGATTGCACGGTCACATGGCAATTATTGTGGTGAACCCAGGTTCAATATTGTGACATTACTGTCTATACTCTATAATACTGGGCCTATTCTCCACGGTCCACTCCGTCCAACCGGCCGCCATGCCATAACATGTTACGATCATTAAAACTGTCGGGCTTCAGTTTCACTGGACCTGCAACCGTCGTAGGAATGACTTCGATAGTATTTCCATCGAGATAACTTCTATAATAGGTTTTCGATTTTGTGACCATCAATTTATAATAATAAACAATGAAAACGATATAATATACTGCCAATACAATTAAATATATTTTTATGTATTACTATTTACAAGTAGCTGGTAGCTGGTTTTGTTTAGGGGAGACGCAGTCTCAAAGTCTCCCCTAGCTGACTACAGGGCATTATTGCTAATAGGTACCTATGCTACGCCGCCGTTTAGCGACTCTTTGATC